AAGAGCTCTGTCGCTGTCGTTGCCTCTCGTGGCACTCCCCGCTCCCCCTTCTTTGAGGGGTGTTCTCCCTCCCTTCTCGCGCCCTCCGTTGCTACTGCTGCCGCTGTTGACTTCCTTCGTACTGAGGAGGTCGGTGCTGCGTCTGCTCCTAGTGGGAGGCGCCGCAACAGCAAGGGCAAGGAGGGTAAGGGTGGTGGGGGGGGCACTGGAGGGGGTGGTGGCGGGGGTGGTGGCGGTGGTGGTGGTGGGGGTGGAGGCGGTGGTGGTGGCGGGAGTGGAGGCGGTGGTGGCGGCAGTGGAGGTGGCTGGGGTGGTGGAGGCGGTGGAGTGGGCGGAGGGGGCTCGGGTGGAGGTCATGGTGGAGCTGGCAGGGGCGGAGGCTCTGGGGCGGCGACTGGTGGTGCAGCTTGTGGCGGCGGAGGCACTGGGAGTGGACAGCAGCAGCAGCCACGCACCCCTCAGGAGCTTCGTGAGTGGGTGGTTCAGCATGGCTCCACTGGGGCCAATGTTCGTTGCCCGTACGTCCGGCGCACGGGGCTCAGGACTGGTGAGCCCTATGGGAAGACTGGGCACACAGAGTATCGTTGCTTCTGTCGTCTCGAGGATGCCTGGCGCACCGAGTATGGAGATGAGCTGGCTCCGTGCTGGAGGTGCTGCTGGTGCTGGAGGTGCTGGAGCTGCTGGTGCTGGAGGTACTGGAGCTGGAGGTGCTGGAGGTGCTAGAGCTGCTGGTGCTGGAGGTGCTGGAGCTGCTGGTGCTGGAGGTGCTGGAGCTAGAGGTGCTGGAGGTACTGGAGCTGGAGGTGCTGGAGGTGCTGGAGCTGGAGGTACTGGGCGTGCTGGAGCTGGAGCTGCTGTAGCGGCTGACGGTACGGGTACTGTGCCGCGCCGACCGTTTTTCTACCCGCAGCCGCAGTCGTCCCTGCCACCACCTGACTCGGCCCTTTGCCAGGTTCTTAGTCTCCCGTCTTCCACTGGCCTCACTCCACCTCTTCTGTGTCCACCGACAGACCAGTCTCAGCCACAGCTACTGCCTGGCTCCCCGCTGCCTGCTCTTGCTCCTCACACTGAGGTGACTGCGTCCCTGACTGCGCGTCGTGAGCCTGAGACTAGTGCTTCCACACCTGTTCGTGCTCGTCGTGTCCCACGTCCTCGTCCTCCTAGTCCCAGGCACTCACGTTATGGAACTTCGTCCTTCCTCTGTTCCACAGCGTGTTGCCCTGCCGTCTCCTCCTGCGTCCTCTCTTCCTGACGTTCCTGACCCTGAGTCCGACCTTGCTCGTGCTGCCAGTCCTACTGTCACTCGTCTCCTCGCTACTGTCGTCACTGACCCTGACTTTGAGTCTACTGCTGCGTTTGCCCTAGTCATTGAGCTAGTTGACTTTGCTGCTAGGAGTCGTCTCGACTACGTCGCGAGTCTTGTTACTGAGTCTGAGTCCGTCTGTCCTCCATTCATCGGGGGTGAGCTTGCCCTTGGCTGTGACGTCCTTGAGGATAGGCAGTTTGAGCTTGAGTGTCTCGCTGCCGCTTTACCTCGTTTCGCGTCCATGCTGCTTTGCCCTGAGGGAGACCCGGATGCACTTGACATCCCCACCCCGCGCTCTTATGGAGAGGCGATCACGGATGAGTACTCCTCTCAGTGGCAGACAGCCATGGATGCAGAGATGGCTTCCTGGAAGTCCACATGCACCTACGTCGACGAGGTTCCCCCTCCTGTGGCGAACATAGTCGATGGCATGTGGATTTTCAGAGTGAAGCGGCCGCCGGGTTCTCCGCCTGCCTTCAAGGGGCGTTACGTTGCTCGAGGCTTCAGTCAGTGACAGGGGGTCGACTTCTTCCAGACCTTCTCCCCCAGCCCGAAGATGACTACTCATCGGGTGTTGCTGCACGTTGCAGCACAGCGTGACTACGAGCTGCACTCCCTCGACTTCTCCACAGCTTTCTTGCAGGGCAGCCTTCACGAGGAGATCTGGCTCTGCCGCCCACCTGGCTTCACTGGGTCGTTTCCAGAGGGTACCCAGTGGAGCCTCCGACGGCCAGTCTACGGTCTCCGCCAGGCGCCCCGCGAGTGGCACGACACACTGAGGACTACACTTGCGGCTCTTGGGTTTGCTCCTTCCACTGCTGACCCGTCGCTGTTTCTCCGCACCGACCCTACTCGGTCGCCGTTCTACATCATCGTGTACGTCGACGACTTGGTCTTTGCTACTGCCGACACTGAGGCGCTTACCCTTGTGAAGGCAGAGCTGTAGAAGAGACACACTTGCACTGACCTGGGTGAGCTGCGTAGCTATCTTGGCTTGTAGATCACCCTGGACAGAGCACGGTGCACCATCACTCTGACTCAGTCACACATGGTGCACCAGGTCCTTCAGCGCTTCCGCTTTCGGTTCTCCTCGCCACAGCCCACTCCTCTGGCTACCGGCCACTCGCGCTCAGCTCCACCTTCGGACAAGTCCGTAGAGCCGAGTGGCCCGTATCCAGAGCTTGTGGGCTGCCTCATGTACCTGATGACGTGCACACGACCTGACCTCGCGTACCCTCTCAGCATCCTTGCTCGCTTCGTCGCCCCCGGGCGACACAGGAAGGAACACTGGACAGTTGCGTAGAGGGTACTGCGTTACTTGTGCAATACATCGGGCATGGGGCTTGTGCTTGGAGGACGGGGTCTAGTGGTACTCACAGGACACTCCGACGCTTCTTGGGCTGACGACCAGGCGACTCAGCGGTCGTCCCAGAGTTACTCTTTCAGTCTCGGCTCTGAATCTGTCTCGTGGAAGTCCACTCATTCGTCTTCTGTGCTTGGTTCCAGCTGTGAGGCCGAGATCTACGCTAGGGCCATGGCTGCACAGGAGTTACGCTGGCTGACCTACCTGCTGACCGACTTGGGTGAGCATGATGTTCTGTACGTTGACAACACCTCGTTCTCCTCCAGTTATGTACGTTGACAACAATGCCATGATGGCCTTGTGTCAGGAGCAGAGACTGGAGCACAGAACGAAGCACATTGCTCTTCGTTACTTTCTTGCTCGGGAGCTGCAGCAGCGTGGTCAGCTGCGCCTTGCTTACGTGGCCTCTCGGGCCAACACTGCTGATGTCTTCACCAAGGCTCTTGGGTCTGATGATCATCAGCGTTTCTGCACTGCTCGAGGCCTTGTGCCTACTCTGCCTCACCTGCTTGTCTCTTGATCTTGTCTTGTACTGTGATCTATCTATATATATACCTGCATGCGTTGTGATCACTGTACTGCTTGTGCTTTTATAACTCTGCATGTGAACTGGCCTTGTGGCCGCTTGCGTGTGCTCGGAGTGTGTGGTATCCTTGAGATCCACCCTGAACTTTGCTTTGTTTGCCTCTCTTGACTGGACTTGTGACCATCTGATTGTCCCCCACTTAGCCTATGGGGGTGTGTCAAATTACAATTCTACTTGTTAGGCTATAGTGGGGTACTCTCTACGGGGTACAACCCCAATTAGGGTTAGCTATACAATCCTGTACTATCCTCATTCTAGTCATTCTTACGTTCCTACTTCTGACAGCGCCATCGCTGATTGCCTCTGAGCGCTGTCCCACGCTGTCGTGCTGCGATGGTGTTCCCGACGAAATGACAATCGGCTCGTCTGATTGTGCTGGTGCATTTGCGGGTGCTGGTGCTGGTGCATTTGCGGGTGCATTTGCCATTTGCTGATTGCTGCCGGGCGGAGTCGCGTTCCGCCATGAGCGTCGCAATTTCGAGCGACGATTCCTCGAGTTGGCGCAGGAGTTCGTCGAGGCGCTCTTGCGTCAACGTCGCGAGTTGGAATTCGGCCATGGCGGGGGTGTCGGGCGAGCTCAGCGAGAGACTCAGTCGTGGCTGAGTGTGCTTACGATAGAGCACACGAGCAGCGGTGCTTGGTCGCTGAGGGACGTCTACCCCCTCCAAAAATTGAGATAATGGGGAAGCGAAGGTGTGGGCGCGGTCTAAGAAGGGATCGTAGGCTCTGAATACCAAGTGTTACGAGTGCAATTGAGTGAGCGGACGAAGATTGCACTATCGAAGCAAGAGTACAATGAGCGAAGGAATGAGCGAACAATATATAGCGAAAGCCTAGCGTGGTAACGGTCATGCGCGAGAATGTGGTGCGCGACGGGCCTGGCGCCGAGGTTGGGAAATGTCGAGGCGGAGGACCGGAGCGCGGGTTACCAACCGAACCGTGAGGTTGGGCCGCGATGCGTATCGTGGCGGGGACAGTGGTCGAGGCGAGTGTCGCGAGCGGGTAACGTTTTACTCTTGGGTTCTGTTGGCGGGAACCGTCGTGTACCGAAGTAAGGAAAAGGATTTTTCCTTAGAATAGCCTTACAATGTCTCGAGAATTTCATTAATTGGATTTTTCCGATAAGTCATATTTGAGCCCGCACGCATCTGTTCAGAGTAAATTATATTGTTATTGTTCTCGATACACAACAACCATACTAAAATAAGATGGTAAGGTCAGCCTGTCCTTATCAATACACACCTGCATGATCAGAAGAGATAACAAACCACACTCTCAATTCAGTTTAGGATGCAAATTTGAAATAGAAGATTTGGTCAATTCTGGGCTGATTGTGAAACAGGGCTCCAGAAACAAAAAAGACATCCCTAAGTTGATACACGGAACAACTCGAGCAGGATCACTGAACTTAGAGACATATCTCGTTTACTGAAGGCTGAGATTAGGGTTGAAGAATCGAGCAGTGTTCAGTAACGAGGAATTCGTAAACCACGCTGACACTCGCGAGGAATTCAGTTTGAAATTTGTCTAGTGTTTTAGAGTGTATGTGCAAACCTCGGCTAGAGTGTGATTCGCAGCTGCGGAGAGTACAAAGCGGCAGGCTCGTGGCTCAGCGCGATTGTTCCAGTAACACGCTCTATATTGTGGTGACTTATAAGTAAGTCACTTAGTTCCATTTCCACGCTTTACATTCCAGTACAATGAGACGGAGCGAAGATGGTTACTGTTCTTGATACTCCAGTACAATGGGACGCGGGGATGGAAGGGACGGGGATAGAAGGGACGGGGTTGGAAAGGAAGGGGAGGGAAGCGAAGTGAAGGAGAGGAGTAAGGCGGAGGAGGAAAAGACGGAGGGGGCGGAAGGAGTGGAAGATAAAGTGAGGGAGAGAGCGAAGGGAGAGGACATGACGGAGAAGAGTGAGGGGGAGAAGAGGGAAGAGGAGGAGCGAGGGAGGGAGAAGCAGGATGGAAAGGGTAGAGGGGCAATGGGAGCAATGGGAGCAATGAGAGCAATGGGAGCAATGGGAGCAATAGGAGCAATGGAAGCAATGGGAGCAATAGGAGCAATGGGAGCAATGGGAGCAATGGCGGCAGTGGTCCGTGATTTGCAAGAGAAAAGCGAGGCGGAGGGGGGGGATGAGGAGGGGAAGGGGGGCAAGGAGGAGCGGAAGGGGAAGGAGGGATCAGTAGTGGAGACACGAAATGCAGAGGGGAGGGACGACATGGTCGCCCCTGAAAGGATCACCAGGCGGATTCTTGAGCCGACTGAAAAAGCAGCGGAGGAGAAAGGCAAGGCAGAGGGGAGGGACGAAATGCGTGCGAGTGAAAGGATCACCAGGCTGACTGCGTTTCGGACGACTGAGAAGGCGAAGGAAGGGGAGAAGGGGAATGAGTGCGAGAAAAAGGGTGAGAAGGGGAAGGAGGGTGAGAAGGAAGGGGAGAAGGGGAAGGAGGTTGAGAAGAAAAGGGAGAAGGGGAAGAAGAGTGAGAAGGAAGGGGGGAAGAAGAGTGAGAAGGAAGGAGAGAAGGGGTATGAGGGTGAGAGGGAAGTGGGGAAGGGGAAGGAGGGTGAGAAGGAAGGGGAGAAGGGGAAGGGGGGTGAGAAGGAAGGGGAGAAGGGGAAGGAGGGTGAGAAAAAGGGTGCGAAGCGGAAGGAGTGGGGCAGCACAACAGTTTCTTTGGTGCCAATCGCTCGTCCAGTTGCAGCAGTCACAGTTGCACCAGGCACAGCTGTAGCAGGCTCAACTGTAACGGGCTCGGCAGTAGCAGGTTCAACTGTAGCAGGTTCAACTGTAGCATGCTCAACTGTAGCAGGCTCAACTGTAGCAGGCTCAACTGTAGCATGCTCAACTGTAGCATGCTCAACTGTAGCAGGCTCAACTGTAGCAGGCTCAACTGTAGCAGGCTCGACTGTAGCAGGCTCGGCTGTAGCAGGCTCAACTGGAGCAGGGACAGCGTCTGTTGCACGTCAGCAAGAGAAGCAGCAAGGGAAGCAGCTAGGGAAGCAGCAGCAAGAGAAGCAGCCGCATGGGAAGCAGCAGCAAGAGGAGAAGCCGCTAGGGAAGCCGCAAGAGGTGCAGCAGGAGAATCAGCAAGAGAAGCAGCAAGAGAAGCAGCAAGAGAAGCAGCAAGAGAAGCAGCAAGAGAAGCAGCATGTGAAGCAGCAGGAGCAACTTCAGGAGAATCAAACGTCAGAGAGTCAGGATGAGGTAACAGGCACCACCCAACGCTCTATGGTTCCACCTCAACCTGCCGTGCTGAACCAGGCCCCACCACTCTCTACCTCTCCTTTACCTGCCGCACCTAACCAGGCCCCACCAATCTCTGCCCCTTCCTTACCTGCCGCACCTAACCAGGCCCCCCCACTCCCCACTGCTTCCCGACCTGCCGCACCTAACCAGTCTCCACCACTCTCTACCCCTCCCCTACCTGCCATCCCACCACAAGCACCTGTGCATGGGGGCCCGTGGGGCGGAGTGGGGAAGGTTCAGGTACTACCAGAGAGCGGGAGTGAGAAGGGAGCAGCACCGGAGGGAGTGGGGAAAGTGCGGTTAGAACCAGAGAGCGGGAGAGAACAGGGGGAGGCGCAGGGCGGAATGGGGAAGGTGCGGTTAGAAGCAGAGAGCAGGAGTGAGATGGAGGAGGCACAGGGGGGAATGGGGAAGGTGCGGTTAGACTCAGACTCAGAGCCCAAGGCGAAGAGGAAGAAGGTGAAGCGATTGAGCAGCATACATGGACCGCACGGAGGGGCTGCTTCACCAAAAGAGACTCTTGAGTCGACTCAAAAGTCACTCTCTGGTGCCTCGAGGATTGTCGGAGGAACTGATAGGGAAAGGTCAGGTGCAGGGGAGGGGGGCGCGTCTAGGGAAGGGAGTGAGAAGGAAGGAGATTCGGAGTGCGTGGGTATAGGAGAGAGGGAAGAAGAGGGAGAAGGGAGGCGAGATGGAGAGACGGAGGGGGGCCGAGGGGGTGGTTTTGAGGTGCGGAGAGAGGGGGAGGGGGAAGGGGAGAGGAAGGGGAGTATGGATGAAGAGAGAGGGAGGAGGGGGGAGTGTGTTGGAAGGGGAAGGGAAGGAGAGAGTGAGGGGAGTAAAGGGGGGGAGATGAAAGGGGAAGGGAGGAAAGGGAAGGAGAGGAATGGGGAGGAGGAGAAGAGGAGGGAGGAGAGGGAAGGGGAGGGGAGGAATAGGGAGGAGGAGAGGAAACGGGAGGGGAGGAATGGGGAGGAGGAGAGGAAAAGGGGGGAGAGGAAAGGGGAGGGGAGGAATGGCGAGGAGGAGAGGAAAGGGGAGGAGAAGAATGGGGAGGGGAAGAATGGGGAGAGGAAGGGGGAGGAGAGGAAACGGGAGGAGAGGAATGAAGGCAGAGACGCAGAGAGCAGAGGTGGATGTGTGGGCGAGGGGAAGGGGAAGGGACGGGAGGGGAGGGAAATGAGGGCAGCTGCTGCTGACTTTGTGGCTGCTCCTTCTGCTTCTCGTGGTGCTGATGGTGCTGATGGTGATGGGGTTTGGAATGCCAAGGGTAAAGAGAGCAGTCAACCCAATGGTCAATCATACAGTCAACCCTACAGTCAACGCAGCAGTCAACCCAGCAGTGATGCAGATCTAGCGAGTGGTGGCACGAATGGTGACATGGGCTTTAAGGAGCGTCAATGCATGCAGGGGGATGGTGCAATGGAGTGTGAAGGGCGGGAGAAGGGGAAAGAAGAGGCGAGGGGCGGAGGCAGGGACGAGGGGAGGGGAGAGGAGAAGGAGGAGGAGAAGGAGAAGGAGGAGGAGGAAGGGGAGGAGGACAAAAGGGAGGAGGAGAAGGAGGAGTACGAGGAGGAAGAGGAGAATAGGGAGGAGGAGAAGGACAAAGAGAAGGAGGAGGAGAAGGAGGAGGAGAAGGAGGAAGAGGAGAAGGAGAAGGAAAAGGAGAAGGAGAAGGAGAAGGAGAAGGAGAAGGAGAAGGAGAAGGGGAAGGGGAAGGGGAAGGAGAAGGAGAAGGAGAAGGAGAAGGAGGAGGAGAGAGCGAGAGCGGCGAAAGGAGGCCGAGAAAAAATGCAGAAGAAAGGAAAAGGGAGCTTTAAAGGAGAAGAAAGTGGAAACGTCTCAGAGGGGGATGAGGAGGAGGGAGGGGAGGATGTAGTAATGATTGAGCCAGCAGGAAGAGGGGGGAGAGGAAGGGGCGGGAGGGGAGGGAGGGGTAGTAGAGGAAGGGGTGTGAAGGTGGACCGGGGGAGGGGTAGTCGTGGTGGTGGCAGGGTGGGTGGAAGGAGGGGAAGGGGGAGGGGGAGGGGGAGAGGAGGGAGAGGAGGGCGATATGGGGGAGGGAGTGGGCGTGGGAGGGGGAGGTCGGTGGAGAGGGAGGAGGAGGAAGAGGAGGAGGAGAGTGAGGAGACGAGTGAGGGAAGTGGGGATGAGGAGGAGGTTAGAGAGGGCAAAGGTGGACTTAAAGGGATGGAGGGGAAGAGGGTGGAAAATGGTGGGAAAGACAAGGAGAGTGGGAGAGGGAAAGGGGGGGGAATGGGAAGTCTGGAAAGAAAAGAGGAGGAGAAGGAGGATGAGATGGGGAGTATGAAAAGGAAAGAGGAAGAAAGGGAAAATGAGCTGAGAAGCAGGAACGAAGAGAGGAAGGGAAGGAAGGAGATGGAGGGTGGGGAGCTAGAAGAAGAGGAATGTAGGGAGGAGGGAAGAGAAGAGGGGGAGGACAAAAGAGATGATGATGATGGTGGTGGTGATGATGATGAAAAGGAGGAGGGGAATGAAGAGGCAGGGAATGAGATTGGTAAGGGAGGGAGTGAGGAGAAGCTTTTAGGGAAGAAGCGGATTGAGGAGGAGAAGAAGCAGGGGAAGGGAAAGATGAAAGGGCAGGTGGTGGAGAGGCAGGGGGAGGAAGAGGAGCAGGACGATCATGGTGTTGCTCACACTGATTCTGCTTTTGAGTCGACTCAAAAGCAGGCTCATACTGATTCTGCTACTACTGCTGCCGCCGCTGCTGCTGATGCTGCTGATGCTGATCCTTCTGCTTCTGCTTCTGCTGCTGCTCCTGACGACGCTCATGATGTTAACGATGATGACAATACTGAGGATGATGATACTGATGAGGAGGATGATAAGGAGCACGAGGTGACGGTTGTGAAGGGAGAGAGTCAGGTGAGGAGAACCAGGGACAGGGACAGGGAGAGGGAGAAAGGCCTCCCCCGCCGCGACATCATCAAGCTGCGGGTAGTGCGAGAGCTCAAGGGATTCGCAGGCAAGCAGGACATCGGACCGGGAGGAGAGAAGCTCGGGTTCGTCCCCTATGTCTCCATGGGTATCAGCCCTCTGGCACTGCAGGGGGAGACCGTGCGCAAGATTCATCGAATGCGGACGCCGCGTCCGTCCTTTGTCAAGTTTGTCACCCGCCACGTCATCGCGACCGCGGATAAGGGCCTGGATCTGCCCGGGCCGTTCGTGAAGCGCCACCTGGCGGGGTCCGATCGGATGGCTGTGATTGGCCCGGGTGGGCGGCGGTGGGATATGCGGTGGGGGGTGTATTCGAAGGGAGTGCCAGTGTATAGGCTGAAGGACGGGTGGGGGGGGTTGGCGGTGACTTTGGAGTTGCAGGAGGGGGAGGCGCTGGTGTTTGAGGTGGAAAAGCCGAATTTGCTGCGGCTGCATCTGGTGCAGTTTGGGCAAGATGTGGTGTTGAATACGAGTCCCATGGTGGTGCCGCGAATGCGGGAAGTGGCGAATGCAGGTGAAGCTGCTGCTGCTGGTTCTGCTGGTGCTGGTGCTGGTGGTGGTGGTGCTGGTGGTGGTGGTGCTGGTGGTAGTGGTGCTGCTGCAGAGACGGCGGATGATTGTGCAGTTGGGATTGGAAAGGGAGATCGGAGTGGGAAGGGGCTGGTGACTGGAAAAGGGGGCTTCGGGTTGAATGAGGTGGGGGTTCAGGCACAGGGTGAGTTGGTGACGGGTGAGGGGAAGGATGTTGGGGTGATTGGGAGGAAAAAGAGGAGGAAGCTGCTGGGAAAGGCAGGTGGTGTTGAACAAGGTTACAAGGAGGAGGAAGAGGAGGAGGAGGGGAGTGAGGGGAAGGAGAGGCATGAGGAGGAAGATGGGGATGAGGAAGGGGGAGAGGAAGGGCGGTGGAAGGATGGGTGGAGGCATGAGAGGAAGAAGGAGAGGGAGCATTTGAGGGAGGATGAGAGGGGGGGAATGGGGGTAGGAGGAGAGCGGGCAGGGAGTGCAGCAGCCAAAGTGACAGGCAAGGGGGAGAAGAGAGTCAAGATGAGCAGCGGTAAAGTGGGAGTGAAAAAGAAGAGGCAAAAGGCATTCCCGCTTTACCAGGGGCAAGGACCAGGGGTGCTGGTCGCAACTTCTCCTGCTGTCCCCCCTTCCCCTGCCACTGCTGCTGCTCGCCCTGCTACTACCACCTCCCATGGGATTTCGCCTGCTCCTCTTGTTCCCGCCTCACCCAAACCTCCTGTCTCTGCTACACCTGCTGCTGCTCCTGCTGCCGCTGCAGCTACTGCTGCGGCTGCTCACGCTGCCTCTGCTGCTTGCGTTGCGAACCCGCCTCCCTCGAAAGGGAGAGTACGTGTGGCTCCACCAGGGGGGTGGAAGGTGGCCCGCCTTGTGCCCTCCACACGAGCCACTCGCCCCGTGCCCTCCGCTGCTGCTGCTGCCCCTGCTGCTGATGCTGCTGCTGCTGCTGCTGGTGGTAGTGCTGCTGGTGGTGCTGCTGGTGGTGCTGCTGGCGGTGCTGCTGGTGGTGCTGCTGGTGGTGCTGCTCCTGCCCCTGCTGCTGCCGGTGGTGCAACTTCAGCAGCAGCAGAAGCAGCAGCAGCAACAAAAACGGAAGCAGCAGTAAGCGCAGCAGATGATGGAAACCCGAGAGGGCAGGACAGGGGCACGGACGACCCGTACCTGAGCAGAGGCACGGCCGACCCAAACTTGAGCAGAGGCACGGACGACCCGTACCTAGCTACACTGTTATGGGTGCAGCGAGTGTGGGCCGAGCACCAGGCAGCCTTGGCCCGAGCAATGGAGGAGGAGGAGAAAGAAGAAAAGGCGGAGGAAGAAAAGGGGAAAGAAAAGGCAGAGGAAGAGGAAGTGAAGGCCGAGGGGGTGGTGGAGGCAGAGGAAACTGGGGAGGAGGAGGGGAAGGGAGGTTCGGAGAGGGAGGGAGAGAGGGGAAATGGGGAAGGGCGGGATGAGGGGCGTGCTGATAAGGGGGAAGGTGAGGAGGAGGGGGAGGTGGGACGGAAGAGGCAGAGGAAGGGGGATGAAGTGGGGACAGATGGTTTGGAGAGGAGGGAAGTGAATGGCCATCGTTCTATTGGTAGTGGTCTTGGTAAAGGCTCTGGTAATAAGAACGGTGATGGGTATGAGTATGGTTATAAGCATGGTTACAACAAGTATGGTTACGCTTACGGGTTTGGTTGGATGGGGGGAAGATTGGGTGGGAGGAAGAGGAGGAGAGGCAGAGAGGAGCGGGATGAGAAGGGTTCGTACAAGGTGAACTCTAGATGGCGCCTCTCTCTCACTGGCGTCACCATTGTCCCTCCTCCTCCCCCTCTCGCTCACCCTAACTGGCCCGCTCCTCCTCCTCCCCCTCTCGCTCCCCCTAACCGGCCCGCTCTTCCTCCTCCCCCTCTCTCTTCTTCGTCTCCCCCTTTCTCTCCTCCTGTGCCCATATCCCCTCCTGCTCCTCCTTCTCCTGCTGCTGCTGATGTGACTGCTGCCAGTCCTGCTGCAATCCCATCTGCTGCAGCCGCCTGTGCAACAGCCGCCACAGCCGAAGTGCGGACACAGGCAACAAAGCCGGAGGCGAAGCAGGCAGGGAAGGGAAAGCTGCCAGAGAAGTTTCCTGGGAAGTATCCAGGGAAGCCGCTTGGAAAGCTGTCAGGGAAGCAGGGGGGGAAGACAGGGGGATGGAAAGGGGCGGGAGGGAAGAAGGGTGGGGCAAAGGCAGGAGGGAGCAGCAAGCAGGCAGCAGAGAGCATCGATAATGAGATTGCGTCCTCTCAGGTAAACCGAGCGTCCGGTCCTTCTGCTGCTGCGGCACCAGATGGTTTTGCAGACGCACCTGACGAAACACCTGATGCAACACCTGAAGGAAAACCAGGAGGAAAGCCTGGAGAAACACCTGGGCCTTTTAAAGCGCCTGCCAAGAAGGTGGTCAAGCCACGTGCCAAAACACAGAACAAAGCACCTGGAAATTCGCCTGGCGGTTCTCCTGCCATAGCTTCTGAGAAAACACCTGGTAAAACACCTGGCTTGAAACCGGCTGGAGAGAGGGTGCCACAGAGGGGTGTGAAGGGGCGGTGGGTGCGGGCCGGGGCAGATGTTGAGTCGAGAGGTCCGTTGGATCCCAAAGCCCCTTCGGAGGCCAAAATCCCTTCAGAGTCCAAAGTCCTGCCCCAGACTACCCAGAGGAGTGAGGACGGTGTTTCATTGGAGGGGGACGATGAAGGGGAAGGGGAAATGGAAGAGGGAGAGGAAGGGGAAGTGGAAGGGGACGGGGAAGGGATCGGGGCAGGGTTTGGGGTGGAAGAGGGGGAAGAGGAGGAAGGGGAGGTGGAGGTGATTGAAGCTGGACTCGCAACCATGCCACGTGCCACTACTCCCCCCTCCACCACCACCACCACCACCACCACCACCACTGGCACCACCACCACCACCACCACTGGCGGCACCGTCCCGAACACTACTGCACCGCTTTCCACCACTCCCACCACCGCCACACCCACCACCACCACACCCAACACCACCACACCGACTCCCACCACCACGACGACCACCACCACGCCTCCTCCAAGTGACAGCAGCGCTCTGAACAGAAAGGCCTCGCTGCGAAGCCGTGTGCGCCTGCCAGCCACCACAGCGTACCTTGGGGTCACTCTCAAGGCCCCCGGGCGGTACCAGGCGCGCATGCTGGCGCGCGACGGGACACGTCAGCGCCACGTAGGATTCTATGCGACTGCTGAGGAGGCTGCGCTGGCGTATGACGTGGCAGTGCTGCGCGTGCACGGGGTGCAGGCGAAGCTGAATTTCCCGGCGGATGAGCGGAGAGGGGAGGGAGGGAAGGAGGCGTCGGGCGGGGGTGGTGACGTGGCAGGTGACGTGGCAGGTGCGGTGCCAGGTCAGCTTTCGGGGAACTTGGACGGTTCGTTGCCCCCTCGAGGGGAAGATGGTGCCGAAGCTGCGGGCGCGGGTGGGGCCGAAGCTGACGGCGAGGTTCGGAAAGGCATGCAGAAGAAAGCAGCGATCAATGGGAACGAGAAGGGCAAAGAGGAGGAGGAAAAGGAGATTCCACCATCAGAACCCCCTTCCCCAGTTGTCACCTCGTCTAACTCCCTAGTTCCCCAGATGTTACCTCCCCCAGTCCCCTCGTCCACAGTCAGTCGCAAGGTGAGGAAACGCCACCCCCCTGGGCCCCGCCCCTCTGCCCTGGCCCCATCTGCCTCCAAGAGCGCTGGTCAGGTGTTTTCTCAGGTGCGCCCTCAGGTGCCTGCTGGCCAGGTGTTTTCTGAGGTGCAGGTGGGGAGTGAGGGGGGTGGGGTTGGGGTGAGGGCGGTGGGTGAGGAGCATGAGGGGAGTGCAATGGAGATGGTTGGGGTGGTGGTTGGGGAGGTGACTATAACGGGGGCAGTGGGGGCAGTGGGGGCAGTGGGGGCAGTGGGGGTAGTAGGGGAGGTGGGGACAGAGGAAGGAAAGGAGGGACAGGAGCCGGGAGAGACTGCCGCAGCCCGAGCTGCCAGGTGTCAGCAGATGATTGGGCCAGAGAGGGACACTGTGAAGAGCGGTGGGAGGGGTGAGATGATGGGAGGGACTGGGCAGGTGGAGAGCGGTGGGGATGGGAGTGGCAGGGTTGAGAGCGGTGGAGTTGTGGGCAGTGTGGTGCAGGGGGATGGAGGGAGGGGTAGGGGTAGGGTAAGGAAGAGACAAAGGCCAGGGAGGGATGGGGGTGAGCAGTGGGAGAAGCAGCAGGGGGGTAGAGGCGTGGGGAGGGGCATGGGGCGGGGTGCGGGGAGAGGTGTGGGAAGGGGCATAGGCACGGGCATGGGCACGGGCATGGGCATGGGTATGGGCACGGGCATGGGCATGGGAATGGAAGGGCTAAGACCACAGGAGAAGGAAGGCACAGAGGAAGAGCATGCGGCTATGCCTTGTCAGCAGCAGCAGCAGCAGCAGCAGCAGCAGCAGCAGCAGCAGCAGACTGAATCATCAGCCCCTGTATTAGCCGTCCCTCCTCAGCCCTCCTCTCCCCATCCCGCGCTCCTCTCCCTCCCCAACATGCCACCCCCATCCCGCCGTCCCTCCCCCGCCCCCACCACCACTACAAGTCCCCTCACTCCCCCCTCTGCACCCGAGTCCTCACAGCCCCGACCCGGACCTGGTTCTTCCGAACGTGTTTCTTTCGAACCTGAGGATCACAGGTCAGGTTCCAGACCTGTAGGTTCCGAACCTGCTGGTTCCGGACCAGCTGGTGCGCCAGGGGATGCTGGTGGTGTGGATGGGTTGAATAAGAATGGTGCTGGAGGGTGTGAGAGCAATGGTGGTGGTGCTGCTGCTGATGGGGATGGTGGGGATGTTGGGGGGGGTGGAGGGTGGTTGAGGGGCTTGGATTTGAATGAAGAGTGTGAGGATGCTGTTAGGGAGGCGTGGAAGGAGGCAGGGGGTGCTGGGGTGGGTGCAGAAGCAGCTGAGACAGGTACACCACGTGCAGCCCTTGCAGCTTCAGCTGCTGCAGAAGCAAGTGAAGAATCAGCAGCAGCAGCAGCACTGGCTAGTTACTCTGGTGCCTCTGCTGCTGCTACTGCTGCTGCTGCTGGCGCGACAGCACATGGTGCTTCTGCAGGGTCGGGCGATTCAAGGAAAGAACAAGGAATGGCAGCGACATCAGCAGCATCAATGCCCCTCTCTGGCAGCTGTGCCCCCAAGCCCTGGTGGCAGACACGCCCTGTGGGGTCTGCACCCACTGCCTTTGAGGGGGGAGGAACAGCACAAGCGGCACGGGGAACAGCGGGGGCAGCAGGGGGGGAGGCAGCGGCAGGGGGAGCAGCGGCAGGGGGAGGAGCAGCAGGGGGAGCAGCGGCAAGGAGGGCAGCAGGAGCAAGCGAGGCTGCGAGAGGACTGAGGTTGGCAGCAGCTGTGGGCGGTGCAATCGAGTCTTGCTTAGGGGGCTGGGCGGAAAGGGCGGGAAAGCAGGTACGGGAATCAGAGGAGCGACGAGGGGAAGAAGGAGGCAGGAGCAACAGCAAGAGCAACGGCAATGGCAATGGCAAGGGGGATGGTGGTGGTGGTGAGAAGAGCAAGCAGCAGGAGGCAGAGGAGGAGGATGAGGATGACGATGTGATCCTGGTGTGGGAGGGAAGCCGCTCCTCCCCTCCTCCTTCCTTCCCATCCTCCTCTCGTGCTGCTGCTGCTGCCGCCGTCTCTCACGCTGCTGCTCCTGCTCCTCGCTTTCCTGCTGCCCCTGTCCCCACTGCTGCTGCTGCTGCTGCCTCTGCTACCCCCGGTCAGCTGCAAGGCTTGAGCCTTGCTTCTTACTTCCACACTCCTCCCCGTCCATCCACCCTCACCCCTCCCCCACCACCACTGTCAAACCTCGCCGTCTCCCTCCCACCAGCCCCTCCCCTCCCCCCACGCCCCCTGCCTTCCCCTCAGCAGCTGCCAACGCAGGGCCATCCTTCCTCTATTCCAGCCCGCTCTCCCCACCCGCACGCGGCAAGGTTCAGAGCACAGGGGGCTTGGCGGCCCTCCCTGCCTCTGCCCTGGGAATCTCCACCGCCCTCTTTTGGAACTACATCCCGAGACCTGCCGCCCGCTTTCGGGCCTGCGCCTCGAGATTTGCCGCCCTTTCCCGGACCTACGTCTCAGGTGCGGCCCCCTTCCGAATCTACGGCTCGGGTGACGGCCCCCTCCGGACATGTCTCTCAGGAATCCCCGGGCCGAGACCCCTTGGCTCGGAACTATTCACAGCCACGGGGTCCTTTGGCTCGGGAGGGCCCCCGCCCGTCCGAACCTGCGGCCTGGCAGCAGGAAGAGGTGGGTAGAGGGAGGAGGGGCGGTTTCGCAGACCTAAACGCTGCTGTTGCCGATCCTGCAGAGACTGGAGACAGTGGGAGCAGCAGAGGTGGGAGCAGCAGAGGTGGGAGCAGCAGAGGTGGGAGCAGCAGGGGTGAGAGCGCAAGGGGAGGTGGCCTCAACAGAGGGGCGCTGGGGCAGGGAAGTGAGTTCAGGCAAGGCAGAGGCGAGCAGGCACACTTAGAACCACCAGTAGCACGGCAGGGGCAGAGAGGGCAGACGGAGCAGAAGGAGCAGAGGGGACTGAGGGAGCAGATGCAGCAGATGCAGCAGGGGTTGCAGGGAGTGGTATCGCGTGGGGTACAGGAGGCGGCAGGTGGGAGGGAGCGAGAGGCAGCAGGTGGCGAGATTAGGGGGTGGGCGGGAGACCGGGTCAGGGATGGTGCTGTAGGGAGGGAAATGAGAGAAGTGACAGTGCAGCAGGGAGGGGTGGATGGTGGGTGGCAGAGGGAGCAAGTGGGTGTGAGACAGAGAGAGAGAAGTGGGCTGGAGCAGCAGCAGCAGCAGCAGCAACAGAGAATTCAGCAGCATCAGCAGCATCAGCAGCAGCAGCAGCAGAGAATTCAGGATGAGCAGCAGATGCAACTGCAGATTCAGCAGGGGCAGCAGCAGATTCAGCAAGGGCAACAGCACAGTCAGCAGGGACAGCAACAGAGTCAGCAAGGGCAACAGCACAGTCAGCAGGGACAGCAGCAGAGTCAGCAAGGGCAACAGCACAGTCAGCAGGGTCAGCAGCAGAGTCAGCAAGGGCAACGGCACAGTCAGCAGGCACAGCAGCAACAGCCGAGAGTCCAACCCACAGTCTCTCACGCAGCAACAGCCAACTTCAGTCTCCCACCCGCCTCCCTGCAACAACTCCTTTCCAATACCACCAATCCCACTCCCCAACCCCCCACCCTCTCACAACCCCCCCCAACTCCTCGCTCTATAGCTGCACTCTCCTCCCTCGCCTCCCTCTCTTCTCTCTCCTCTCTCACTCCCCCCTCCTCCCACTCTCCTCCCACTCCAGCACCCATCTCAGGCGGACCCTCCCAGGCCCCACCACCAGCCCACCCCCACCACACCTCTCGCCCCTCGCCCCGCCTCTCACCCATCTCCACCCCTCTGCACCACCTGTCCTCCCTGTCCCCTGATCACAGGCGCAGGTTCCTGCAGGGGCTGAGTCCTGAGAGCCTGGCTGCCGTGGCTGCTGCCATGGCTGCTGCTACAGCCGCCGCTACTGCTTCAGGGGGAGGGGGAGAAGGGGGGGGAGGTACAGGGGAAGGGGGAAGGGGAGGGGGAGGGGGAGGAGGAGGAGGAGGGGGAGGGGGAGGGGGAGGGGGAGGGGGATGGGGAGGGGGAAGTGAAGGGAGAGGAGCAGGGGGAGCAGGGGGAGCAGGGGGAGCAGGGGGAGCAGGGGGGGCAGGGGGAGCAGGGGGGGCAGGGGGAGCAGGGGGGGCAGGGGGTGCACTGCAGCAACAATCAGGAATCCTACTTCGCCCTCCTCCCCCACCCGCCTCCCACTCCCCACTCCAACCTCCCCTCCCCAATCCCAATCCGCCATCATCTCTCTCTAATCCCATCCCCCCTTCCCAACGCCCCCATGCTGACTCGGGCCGAGGGTTGGCTTTAAGAGGATCGCAGGCTCCTGTGGACGGTCCAGATGCGACCAGCACCGGGTTTGGGAGATCTCAGCCGTTTAAGGGGCCTGAGGGGCGATCATATCCAGGCCGTCCCCCCTTCCTTCCTTCTCCACAGCAAGAGCTGCAGCAGAAGCAACAGCAGCAACGTCAAGAACAGCAGCAGCAGCAGCAACAACAGCAGCAGCAGCAGCAACAACAGCAGCAGCATCAGCAACAACAGCAGCATCAGCAACAACAGCAGCAGCATCAGCAGCACCTGCAGCAGCATCAGCAGCACCTGCAGCATCAGTATCAGCAGCAACACCAGCGGCAGCAGCAGCAGCAGCAGCAGCAGCAGCAGCAGCAGCAGCAGCAGCAGCAGCAGCAGCAGCAGCAGCAGCAGCAGCAGCAGCAGCAGCAGCAGCAGCAGCAGCAGCAGCAGCAGCAGCAGCAGCAGCAGCAGCAGCAGCAGCAGCAGCAGCAGCAGCAGCAGCAGCAGCAGCAGCAGCAACAGCAGCAGCAGCAATGGCAACAACATCAGCAGCAACAGCAACCGCATCAACGGCAACAGCAGCACCACCCCTCCCACCCATCTCATCCGTCTCGTGCCTCCCTTCCACCTTCTCCCATGCACCAATCTCGTTTCCCCCTCTTTCCCCCCTCGCCTTCCAGGCAACTCCCATCCCCTCCGAACCTCTCCTCTCCTCCCATCCTCCCCTCCCCTCCAAACCTCCCCTCTCCTCCGAACCTCCCCTCCCCTCCGAACCTCTCTCCCTCCCCAAACCTCCACTCTCCACCAATCATTCCCACTCCAGCGAATCTCCGTTCTCCACCGAACCTCCCCTTTCCCAGCCAATCAGACGCCACAAATCAACCCCGGCCGGCACAGGCTCGGATAAACCAATTCCCTTCGCCGAGCCACCCCCGAGCCTCAGAACACCCGCACAGCCCGCCGCTCAGCCAAACCTCACCTCCGAACCTCCGCCGAGCCTCATCGTATCAGCAGCAGACGAACCGAGCAGCCAGTTCCAGCCCACTTTCAGCTCCGATGGGAACCGGTGCTGGGTCTCCCTCACTCTCCCTCACACTCTCCTCCCCTTCCCCTCCTACCTCCTCGCCTTCACCTGCCCTTGTCACCAGTGGAAACCCCAACTCCATAGGTCCTCCCGCCACCATTCAGGCTGCTGTTGCTTCCTACGCTGCTGCTGCTGCAGGCACCACAGCTGCTGCTGCTGCTACTGCTGGTGGCAGTGCTGGTGGTGGTGGCAGTAGCGCTGGTGGTGGTGCCAGTGCAACTGGCGGGTCGGGAGCGGGAGGGGGAGGGGGAGGGGGAGGGGGAGCGGAGGAGGAGTGGGCGATGGGGCGATTGCAGGCCCTGTGTGGGCAGCGGCGGTGGCGCTGTAGCTGGGCAGTGGGGCGCACACGAGCAGGGTGAGTGTATGCAGCGTGTGGGGGGGTGAATGCCTGAAGCACATGGAGGGTGAATGAGTGTGTCACTGGCTGCAGGTGAGTAAACCACGAAAGTACAAGTTCGAATCAACTCTGCTGACTAGGTGGCGCTGTAGCTGGGCAGTGGGGCGCACACGAGCAGGGTGAGTGCCTGTAGCACGTGGGGGGTTGGGTGAGAGTGGCATGTGAGGTGTGAGTGGATGTAGCACGTGGGGGTTGAGTGAGTGTGGTACATGGAAGGTGAGTGCCTGTAGCACGTGGGGGGTTGGGTGAGAGTGGCATGTGAGGTGAGCACGTGGGGGGTGAGTGAGTGTGGTACATGGAAGGTGAGTGCCTGTAGCACGTGGGGGGTTGGGTGAGAGTGGCATGTGAGGTGTGAGTGAGTGTAGCGCGGGCGGTTGAGTGGGATTTTCGCTCATAGTGGAAGAGCAGCAGTTCTAAAGAGTGACGCTTAAAGCAACAAAAGGAAACGAAATGGTTGAGGGTGGTACATGGTACATGGTTGAGGGTGGTTCCTCACATGGTTGAGGGTGGTATATGGAGGTTGAATGTAACAGGGTGAGTTTGAAAATGTGCTCTTTCCCCCCCCCCCCCCGTGTGATTTTGGTTGTTTGCTTCTTTTCTTCAACCCCATGTGCCATCCACCTGTGCCATGCCACCTGCATTCTGTCCTCTTTACAAGCAGGTTCCGCGCAACGTGTACAGTGACAATGCAGAGCGGTCAAGTGTTTGTGCAGAGAGGCGAGAACCCTTTGGGTGAGACGAGGGCGAGTGCGCTGGCAGCTATCAAGATGCTCCACATGCTCAACGACCTGCAGCCTACTGCCTCCTGAGTAGGGACGTCGCTACGATCCAAAAACGTATCTTGCAGGCAGAGGGGCGAGAACCCTCAGAAGGCGACGAGGGCGAGTGCGCTGGCAGCTATCAAGATGCTCCACATGCTCAACGACTTTCACCCTGCCGCCTCCTGACTCTCCTGCAACCTCCTGACTCTCCCTGCCGCCTCATCAACGTCCATCCTCAAGGGCGAGTGCGCTGGCAGCTATCAAGATGCTCCACATGCTCAACGACTTTCACCCTGCCGCTTCCTGACTCTCCTGCCACCTCCTGACTCTCCCTGCCGCCTCATCAACGTCCATCCTCAAGGGCGAGTGCGCTGGCAGCTATCAAGATGCTCCACATGCTCAACGACTTTCACCCTGCCGCCTCCTGACTCTCCTGCCACCTCCTGACTCTCCCTGCCGCCTCATCAACGTCCATCCTCAAGGGCGAGTGCGCTGGCAGCTATCAAGATGCTCCACATGCTCAACGACTTTCACCCTGCCGCCTCCTGACTCTCCTGCCACCTCCTGACTCTCCCTGCCGCCTCATCAACGTCCATCCTCAAGGGCGAGTGCGCTGGCAGCTATCAAGATGCTCCACATGCTCAACGACTTTCACCCTGCCGCCTCCTGACTCTCCTGCCACCTCCTGACTCTCCCTGCCGCCTCATCAACGTCCATCCTCAAGGGCGAGTGCGCTGGCAGCTATCAAGATGCTCCACATGCTCAACGACTTTCACCCTACTGCCTCCTGAGTCTTTCCTAAGTCTCGCCCCTGCCTCGACACAATGGTGCACAGTGGTGTACAGTGGTGTACAGTGCAGAGGGTTATGCTTCACATGTTCATCGACCGCTTGAGGCAACCCTTTTTCTTGTGATGTCAAGCTCATGAAAGAGAACTGAATTCTGCACAAGCAGCGCCATTGTAGCAACTACAATTCAACACAATACAGGAGAGCCTCATTTCCTTGTGTGAAGCACGTTACAGTTCAAATACCTGTTAGAATCATAGCTAGGAATGGATGGATTAGGTCAAAGGGGGGGTACAAGAAGAATGTACCCCCTAACATGCAACTCACTACAGGCTAAACTAGAATATAAGATATAACTTTGACAATACCTATCCTCCTACTGATCCATCCATGGCAACAGTGCCTGCGTACACTTTTTTTCACTGAGATGCAAGTGGTCTACCCTTGCTAGGACCCTCAGCTAAGCCATACGGGCGTTGCCTAGAGGAACCAATCCCATTCATGCCTTCATCGGTTTTGATCATACCGTATGACTCTCCTAAAAAGCACATCCATGCATTATATGCATATCCATGCTGTCAGGGACCCTCGAGCACATAAGGTGTCTTTTGACTCGACTCAGAACCCCAGCCTACAGCCGATCTCGTGCCACGATCTGGGAAAGCACCTGTTCAAGGTCCCTGAGGCGAATCGGCTTGGCCAGGAACCCATCCATGCCTGCATGCATGCGCACACTTGTCCCTCTCGTGCTTCATGGTGCTCGCCTGTGTTAGCACTGACTGTGTGGCAAATAAGGAGTCCCAAGCCAGCCTATAGCCTATCCCGTGCAACGATCTGAGAGAGTACCAGTTCAAGGTCCCTCAGGCGGATGGGCTTCGCCAGGAACCCGTCCATGCCTGCATGCGCACACTTGTCCCTCTCGTGCTTCATGGTGCTTGCAGTGACAGCATATATTGTCGACCTCTGCACCACACTGTTGTTGTGCCCCGCCCTTCTCTCCTCCTCCTCTGGGACACTAGAGCGCTGCTGAGCTACCCTTCCCTGATCAGTCCTCTCATCCTCCTCTCGCTGCTCTGATCGCTGCCCCTCTGGCTGCTCCTTCCGCTGCCCCTCTCCCTGCTCTGCGTGTAATCTACGAAGAGAATTGTGAGCTTCGGTTAGGCGGTGATTTTCAGAGAGTTGGGTTGGTTGGAAGGGCATGGATTCAGCTGCATTGGAGCTTGGGATGGGGGCGATGTGGGCGCTGGACTGAAGCTCCCGGATGCGCGTGGTGGCTTCAAACCCGTCCATGACTGGCATGTGGCAGTCCTGTAACGATGACAAAGGGAGGGGGGTGCGGTGGGATGGGATGGGATGGGAGTGTAAGAAAGCCTGTTGGATGCGCGTGGTGGCTTCGAACGAATCCGTCCATGACTGGCATGTCCTGCAGGTGACATGGGAGGTAGAGGAGCAAGCACACGTCAGGAGGAGATGTTGGGGGAGAGTTGTGGGCGCTGGACTGAAGCTGACGGAAGCGCATGGTGGCCTCGAATAACGAGGACTGGCATGTGGAAGTCCTGTAACGAGGATGAATAAAGAGGGGGCTGGGGTGGGGTGGGAAGGGATGGGAGGGTAAGAAAGCCCGTCGGATGTGTTTGGTGGCCTCGAATCCGTCCATGACTGGCATGTGGCAGTCCTGTAACGAGGATGAATGGAGAGGAGGTTGAAATGGGATGGGAAGGGATGAGGTGGGATGGGTTGCGGTGGGAATGTGTGAAAGCCCGCTGGATGAGGGATTGGGGAAATAAATAAAAGAGGGGCGGGAAAGAGATAAAGAGAAACAGCAAATACGAGAGCAGGGACATACCATAAAATGAAGTTGACGTGGTAGTTGGTGGACTGACCATGAAGATGACGTGGTAGTTGGTGGAGCGGCAGGCCTCCACGGCCTTGTGGCCGTTCTCTGCCACGTCACACGAGACTCGCAGGTTCCTCAGCAGCTGCACCACCACCATGCGATTCACCGCGTTGTCCTCCACCACCAGACACCGCAGCCCAGAGAAGGGGCCTCCCTCCCTGCTGCCGCTGCCACCACCGCCAGCACCACCAGCAGCAGCGCCAGCAGCAGCGCCAGCAGCAGCACCCCTGCTCCCACTGCCACTTCCGCTGCCGCCGCCCCTGCTGCTGCCGCTGCCGCTGCCGCTGCTGCCGCCGCTACCAGCGGTCTTGCTGTTGCTGTGATTGGGAGACAAAGGCGTGGTCACGGACATGCTGCCTGCTCGTCTCCGGGGGAATGTCCTCTTTCCACGGTCTCCCCCCTCCTCGTCGCGCTGCTCCTCTGTCGCTCTCTTTCTGTCATCCAACCCTTGCTCTCCTGATTCCCTCATTCTTCCCTCCTCTTCCTCCTCGCTTTCCTCCTCGTCTTCCTCTTCCTCGTCCGCTTCCTCCTCCTCCAATGCCTCCTCTTCCCTTTCGATTCCACAGGAGTCTCTCTTGCGCTTCCTCTGCCCCTCCGAGAAACCCTGCTCTCGTCTCTCTTCATCTGCCAAACCTCCTGCATCCACCATGCCCTCTGGCAAAACCTCCTGATGCTGTGGCTTCTGCTGCAGCTGCAGATTGGTCACTTCCCTCCCTGCAAACCTCTCTTGAGTCCCCTCAATCCCCTCTCCTCCCCTTTCCACCGCAAAACCCGTCCCTCTCACTCCCCTCCTCGCAGCACCTCCCCCCCTTGCCCCTTGCACCTCACCCCCTAAACTGCTCGCCACGTCTTGATTACAAATCCCCAACCGCTCCAAACCGTTTCTCACACCCTCCTCCCGCTGCTGCTGGGAATCCCTGTCACAGCGGGGAGCAGAGGAAGGAGTGAAGGGCAGGGAGAGGGAGAAGGTGGAGCCGTGGCGGGGGGAGGAGGCGACGGAGATGCACCCCCCCATGAGCGCCGCGAGCGAGCGACAGATGGAGAGACCCAGCCCCGTGCCGCCGTGCTTGCGGCACGACGAGTCGTCCACCTGCCAGAAGGGGGAGAAGAGGCGCGTCAGGGCGTCTCCTGATAAGCCCATGCCTGTGTCCTTCACGTCTACTCTCACCCACACCCGCACCCGCCCCTTCTTCGCCTCCTCCTTCCCTTCTCCGCCGTTTTTCCTGCTGTTTTTCTCGCTGCCGCTGCTGTTCCGGCCTTCTGTGTTGGCTTCTCCCGCTCGCTCTGCCTTTGTTCCGCTTGGTTTTTTAGTCGGATGGGCCGGGGTGTGGGAGTGGAAGGAAGGGATGAAGACCGCAGCGGCATCTGCTGCAGCAGAGGTGGCAGCAGCAGCAAACGCTGCGCCATCTGAAAACCTCATGCCGGCCCCTGCCCCTGCGTGTGTTGCAGCAGCTGCAGCTTCTGACGTGGGATGCTCCGGTGCTGCTGCTGCCACGCCTGAGCAACCTGCTACATCCATTCCACGACCTCCTCTCACAGCCTTGGCTGGTAGTGCATCTGCTACATCCATGGCCTCGCCTGCTCCTGCTACAGCCGGCCCTGCTGTGCCTGCACCACCTGCGGCTGCAACATCAGCTGCTGTAGCTACAGCTGCTGCTACAGCTGGCGGCACAGCTGGCGAATCAGACAGTCTGGAGGGGCAGGAGAGCGCGGCAGCAGCGAGGCCGGCCTGAGCACCCACGGAGGCAGCAGCAAGGCCGGCCTGAGCGGCAGCAAGGGAGGCGGTGGCGGGAGTGAGCACCCACGGCTCGTTCATTATGCGGTCCAGATCCTCCCTCAACCTCTGCTTTGCTAACTCATCTTCCATGCCTCCCTCACCTCCGTCACCTCCGTCGCCCTCTGCCTCCCTCACTGTCTGCCTTGCCATCTCTTCATCCATACCGTCCTCCCCTCCCCCTCCACTTCCCCAGCCCCTTTCTCTTCCTCCTGCTCCTGCTCCTGCTCCTGCTGCTGCTGCTGCTGCTGCTGCTGCTGCCACACCAGGTCCCGTTGCTGCTGCTGCTGATGTTTCCGGAAGGCTGTGGTAATGCATACCGTCCTGCCTCAGCTGATCCTCCCCTCTCTCCTGCTCGTTACCACACTCTCCTCCCTCCACGCCCCCCTCCATCTGTCCAAATGCAGGCCTCCGTGCCGCTCCTGCCACCCTCCCCTCCTCATCCACACCTGGCGAAGCCACACCTGGCAAAGCCACTACGTGACAAGCTTCCCCAATGGCTTCGGATTCAAAGGGGTTGGCAGAGAGGGCGGCGGAGAGGAGGACTTGGCCGTGGTCGGTGAACTTGATGGCGTTGGAGAGCAGATTGAGCAGAATCTGCCTCACCCGCAGCTGATCCCCCTCCACCCACTCCGGCACGCCCCCGCCCACGCTGATGTGCAACTGCATAAGTAATGTATAAGAGGAAACAAAATAAGGAGGAAGACAAGCAATATGAAACAAAAGATAGCAGCGTATGCGGATGTGAAAACAGTATACCATATATGTATATATATTTATATGTACACATATAAAATTATGTATACACCTTCATATGTTCCTTATTTCTCACCTTGAGTTTTTTGCTTTCGGCCGCGATCCTCACGGCCTCCACCGCCTCGTTCACAGTGTCGTGCAGGTTGAACGGGGAGTGATCCAGAACCAGGGATTTCGTCTCAATCCTCGAGATGTCAAGCACGTCTGAGATGATATGGATGAGGGCGTTTCCGGAGGAAGAAATGACGCCGACGTAGGAGCGCTGCTGCGGGGTGAGGGGGGTGCGGAGGAGCAGCTCGGCGACACCGATGACGCCATTCATGGGGGTGCGCAGCTCATGGCTCATGTTCGCCAGGAACCGGTTCTTGGCTTCGTTGCCTGCTTCTGCTGCTTCCTTGGCCGCCTTCAGCTCCTCCTCCTTGCGCTTCATCTCCGTTATGTCGTGCCACACCGATACGTAGTACGAGATTCCATTCACCGTCACCACCTGGAGGTTATGGAAACGAAACAACATTGCAAAAAAAGAAATGGTATATATATATATATATATATATATATATCAGGAGTGCGAGATAGCAAGGGAGTGACATAGAGGGAGAAAGAAACCCTAAACCTGAATCCTTTGACCCTTGGCGGCACCCAGAGCCTTCAGCCCCTGCTGGGGGCCGACACCAGCAACACATTGATGGCCTTTCCTTGTCCGGGCGGGGTTTTGGCGCCTCGACTTGGATCAATTTCCTTCATCCACCGCAATCCACGTGGGCCTCTCACTCCCAATTCCACACCGGTGCAACTGCCGCCATCCCACCGGGTACTGGACCCATGCCTCCCCAACCACCTCATGCCTGCCATCCTCTCACCTTGCCCTTGACAAGCACCGTGCACGTGCGGCCATCCAAGGAGAACATGCTCCACAAAATTCAGGTCCCGCGGTCCTCACCCAAGTGTTTGCCTTCCTCTCACCTTGCCACTTCTCGCTCTCACCGTGCCACTTCTCCCTCTCACCTTGCCTTTCACAAGCACCGTGCACGGTTGGCCATCCAAGGAGAACATGCTCCACTCAAAGGGCGGCAGCCCGCCCTCCCTCAGGATCCCCTCCAGAATCTCCAGGAAATACTCCAAACTTTGCCGCCCGCACGGCTGGAACTCGGGGGACTGCTTGACGATGCTGAGGCTGGCCAGTGCAGCCTCTTTGGATGGGTATCCGATGATTTGCACTGTGGCGTCGTTGCAGTCTCGGAGAGTAAAGTCGGGGGTTGTGAACACCTGGATGGGGTCCTGCGCGGGGTTGGGGGTGTGTGTGGGAGGCGAGGAGAGGGACGGGGGGAATAGACAATGAGGCAGGGGGGAGGGGGGAGGGGGGAGGGGGAGGGGAGGGATGGGAACACCTGGATGGGGTCCTGTGCGGGTGGGTGGGCGGGATGGGGATAGGTTGGGGAGAGATGAAGAGAAAGAAGACAGCGATAGGCATGGACGATGTTGGTTAAAGAGCTGCTGGTTTCACTCACAATGGAGAGATAAAAAAAACGGTTTGGCATTTGGCATTCTCGTGCCCCAGGAGCAGTTAGTGGCGCAGGCAGTGAGTGGGAGCAAGCTGAACCAAAGTTGTAGGTAGGGTTACGCGGTGAGTACGATATGAGGTGAACTCACAATTGAAAGGTCAAAGATGGCTCGGAACTTGGCATTCTCGTGCCCCAGCAGCAACGCCTCCTTCACTTGCTCTATCAGCCACTCCGCCTCCTTCCACATACACACCCTCCCCTCCCCCCCATCACCACCACCACCACCACCACCACCACCACCACCATTGCCACCACCATTGGCAGCACCACTGCCATCACCATCGCCAGCACCACCAGCACCAGTGCCCACAGCAGCAACAGCATGAGCCGAAGAACCATGAGCATGCATGGCCGCATCATGAGTGGGAGGAACACCAATGGCAGTGGCAGCAGTGGCGTCAGTGGCAGCAGCATCGGCGGCAGCAGCGCCAGCGGCAGCAGGGAAAGCAGCAGCAGCGTGAGGAACACCAGGGGGTGGTTGAGTCGGTGTCGAGTGCGATGGCGTGGCGAGCTGCGCACACTCCCTCAGCTGCTGCAGCATCAGCACCTGCTCCCAGGGAAGCGAGGGGAGGAAGGGAGGGGGAAGGGGAGGAGAGAGTGAGGCAGGTGAAACCGAGAGGGTGTGAGCTGCGCACACTCCCTCAGCTGCTGCAGCATCAGTACCTGCTCACAGGGAACAGAGGGAAAGGGAGAGATGGAGGCGAAACAGAGAAAGGGAGGGGGAGGGGACGGGGGAGGAGGAGGCTCCGCGGCGATTCTTTAGTCGAATAAAGAAAGAAGTATTAGTGCAACCCCATCCCAAAGCTACCATTCCTGAAACCGCTCACCTGACGAAGTATTTGCTCTGTGTGAGTTGAGTAAAGAAAGGAGTATTAGAGCAACTCCATTTCACAGCTCCATTCCTGAAACCGCTCACCTGACGCAGTCTCTGCTCAGTGGCGTCAAGGAAGGTGCAGAGAACCATCCTTTGATCCTTGCAGTCATCCTTGACACTCGCGCCGGAGCTTGTAGCACTCGCACGCGCAGCAAGGGATGCAGACACCTCAAACCACCGCCACTCACTGCTGCTCATGCTCATGCTCATGCTGCCACTCCGACTCGCCTCCCTTCCCTTTCCCCCTCCCTCGCCCTCTCTCTTCTCCTCACCAAGCTCTGCGCCCCTCTTCCATTCCCCCAGTTTCTCCCCCTCGCCCCCCTTCCCCCCTTCGCCCTGTCCTAGCACTGCCAGCCGCACCCAGACCTGCCGCTTCCGCCGGCTGCTGTCCGCTGCGCACTCCCCCACAGCTGCCTGCGCGCGGGCAGATGGGGGGAAGGGGAGATGGGGGGAAGGGGAGATGGCGGGAAGGGGAGATGGAGGGAATGGGAGATTGAGGGATGGGGAGTTGGAGGATGGGGAGATGGAGGGAATGGGAGATTGAGGGATGGGGAGATGGAGGATGGGGAGATGGAGGATGGGGAGATGGAGGATGGGGAGATGGAGGGATGGAAAGTATTGCACTGACAAGGTTGCGACGGTGCGGCAGGGCAAGTGGGAGGGGGAAAGGCGGGACATGGGACAGGCGGGAGAGGCGGGACAGGGATCAGCGGAGAATGCGAGAGGAGGGTGGTGGTGGGAGAGGAAGGAGACTGATGGGAGGAAGGAGACTGATGGGAGGAAGGAGACTGATGGGAGGAAGGAGACTGATGGGAGGAAGGAGACTGATGGGAGGAAGGAGACTGATGGGAGGAGGGACACGGATGGGAGGAGGGACAAGGAGAAAGGTAAAGCCTATTGTCGGTATCAGATACAGCCATCAGACCTTATATTATTATACCTCTGTAACGATCTTAAGCTTCAATGCTCAGCTTTATTACCTCCAGGGCGGCTCTATCGGAGGGGTGAACGAGCGACTGCACGCGCTTCCCGGACAGGTCGCATTGCGGCAGGCCGAGCATATCGGCTAGGGCAGCGCTGTTGCAAGCAGGCGAAGGGGAAAGGGTTGAAAATTTAGAGTTGACACGTCAGGCCGTTGTGTTCCATCGTGAAACAAAATATCGATCGAGAGGCCGGAAGAACCTAATTATGAACCTTTGTGCCGGTAGGCTCTACTTTTCGGTGGATGCAATACCGCTCAAGGCGCGATCCATTCGACCCATGCGATCCATGCGAACCCTCAATAGCGATGGAGACGAAAGCGGACGCTAAGAACGTTTCAACCGCTTTTACTAAGAAAATGTGACATCTTGTGTTTCAGGTTGCAATTCAGTTTCTGCCACGTTTCAAATAGTATTTGCGCTCCCCGCAATCCACGCGGCATTTTCAGACGTTTTACCTGCATTGCGCTAACCGCTGATCCCTCACGTCCCCGCTCACGGCCACCAACACAGCGGGAACGGCCTGGAGAAGAGAACTCTTGAGAATGTCCAATACGTTTTCAGCCATGGCAGCTAAAATTTTGCCGAATCATGTGCTGCTTACACACTGTGTTAGCATCGGCCCGATGTGTTATGATAAAGTTGGACGCATGTGCGTTCACACACTATGTTAGCATAAACTGCTATATGATGAGTATTCTTTCTATGACAACGTGAAGCCTAGGAACTGAAGAAAACTGCCTGCCTTTGAATATGGGCTTGAGATGCCAGCCATAGTTTGAATTGTCTCAGCTGACTTTCTTTCACTTGGAGATACAGGAAGTGTCTGGCAAGGGTTTGAACAGCGAATTTAGCAGCCTTAAACGAAGAATGTTACTGCTATTCTGCTGGTTACAAAGTCGAGCGAAGGTCGCATACAGCTGTTGACCTGCTTGTAAATGGGCTGCTGCGCTGCTGCTGCTGCTGCTGTCTGGGAGGGAAGCTGCAGTGGTGTACACCTAGTCCGCGGTATTTTAACCACGTGAACTGTTTTGCTTCAAACACCCTTTGTTCATTTTCGGGTAATGAGATGGGCACCCAGAGACTTCAAGGCTATTGTTTCGCAGCAGAAGAATTTCCTACTAAAGAAACTCACACTTAGTGCTCCGAAATAGAGGGAGGATCGGCATTGACCAGATTTTTAATGCCATCGCCTCACAAAGGGTATGCTATATTATACCCTCAATAAATTTCAAAACTACTCGTATAAAAAAGTTTGACTAAGGAGAAGTACCCTCGCGCGGTTAAGATAGCGGCGGTTAAAATACCGCGGACTAGGTGTAGCATCTGGGCACAGAACGACAGTCTGGATTTGCTTGCCTCCACTTTGTCATATTGAAGCACGCCGAAATCCGTGACCTGATCCGCGGCTATCGGATTTTCCTTCCAACCACGTGGCACACCAGTGTGATTTCAGATGCAGAACAGAGGTCACGTCAGGGGGTGAAGCCTATACAAATTTTCGAGCTCAAATTCTGTATTTGGCAATTTATAAAGGATCATACCAATCCCACCCGATCCGAATGTTGTCCCGCCCGACTCCCTCTCAGACAAAAGTGTTCATGAATGGTGCATGCACGGGCATAAGGACGTTATCGAGACACGTCAGCCACATCTAATGTGGGCAAGGTTGCTTTCTTGTACAGTGTAGTTCCTGCCATGGTGGTGATTGCTCGTACAGGTGGTTGATGTGGTGGGGAATTTCGCGTCAGGGTGTTTCTCAGCTAGGCCTCTTTGTGGGGTGGCTACTTCACCACTACCCGGGATAAAACATCGAAATCGAGGGCTACACGCCAGGAGGACCCAGCAGATGCTCTTTGCCCGTGCGCGATCTGGGACACTGAAGGTACTGTAACTCTGAAACCCGGTTAGGAGACTTTGATCTGTCGAACTGTACTTGTGAAAATTGGTTCCCATAGTCCAGCACTCACATTACCCAACGTCCAGTTGTACATTGTTCACTAACTGGAGCAATATTGATTGGATGTCTCTCAACCTGACTGGTTTGGCAATAAAGCCATCCATCCCCACACTAGCACATCGGTCCCGTTCATGCTTGAGCACACTAGCTGTGACTGCATGAATGGCAGACCTTTGGACGACCCTGTCATGTGGGCTTTCCTCTTCTCTCTCAGCATCCAATGCCAATTGTCTGTCCGACGGGGTTATATCTTTCACATCTGCTGTTCCGGGATTGGATTGTAGCTTCCGAATGCGAGTGGTGGCTTCAAACCCATCCATGACAGGCATGTGACAATCCTGAATAAAAACAAGGGTGAACAAAGGGTATTGAGGGCATCCTGACGAGCTCGTGGTGGCGATTCTAAAAAAACATAATCTGACCACGAAGCTGACGTTGGAGTCATGGAGGGATGAAATACAAGAAGGAAGAAGGACGCACCATGAAAATGACGTGGTAGTTGGTGGAGCGGCAGGCCTCCACGGCCTTGTGGCCGTTCTCTGCCACGTCACACGAGACTCGCAGGTTCCTCAGCAGCTGCACCACCACCATGCGGTTCACCGCGTTGTCCTCCACCACCAGACACCGCAGCCCCTCAAACGCCCCGCCGCAAGACGGGGACTTGGGAAATGCGCCACCCTTGGCGGTTGACTTTGGAAATGCCCCGTTATTAGAGGGGGACTTGGGAAATACCCCACCATTAGAGGGGGACCTGGGGAATGCACGTTCCACACCTCCTTCGGGGGGCCGCTTCGTCTCACCATGTCTCTCCCTCCCCTCCCTGCTTACTCCCATCGGCTCACCACCTCGCCTCTCCCGACCTTCCTCTGCCCCTGTAGCGCCCTCTACTCTTACTCTCTTGCAACCTTGAGCAGACTCGAATGCAGCTAAGCCTTGAGACGCCTCAGACGCAACTGCCACACTCCCTCTTTCCTTTGTAGCTCTAGATCCGCCTGCTGACTCCACACACCCGTCAGCTCTTCCCACACTGTGATCCACACGCCTCAGCTTATTTAACGATGTGTCATCCACGTGTAATACCTCGACTGGCCTACCGCTGCCACTGCCATTCACCATTGCTGCCTCCCTCCCACGTTCCTTACAGCGTTTGCAGCCCGCGTGCTTTGCTTCCCTGTTAACCGTCTCAGCAGCACCATCTGGTTTCACACCACATCCTTTTTCCTCTGACTCTTGCTGCTGTTGCTGCTGCTGCTGCTGCTGCAGCTGCTGCTGCAGCTGACCAGCATGGCTGGGCGCCAGTTCCGGCTGCTTCCCATCGTAGCTCGGATGAACTGGCGACACTGGCAGCACAGGAAAGACCCCACAGTCGGCCATATTTTCCAGAAGAAAGGATCGGGTCCTTTTGTGCCCCCTGCGCCTCTCAATGCCCCTAGGCTCCTGCGACCCCTCCCCGTGACCACTCCTACCACCAGCACCGGCAGCGGTCACAGCCACAGCAGCAGGAGCAGCTGCAAGAGCAGCCGTAGCAGCAGGAGCAGCAGAAGCAGCAGGAGCAGCGGCACCGGCACCACTTATTATACGCTCACCACCGTGAACACTCTCGTCAGGGCGGGGGGCGGGCTGGAAGGGCAGGTGGAGGGAGAAGGTGGAGCCGTGGCGGGGGGAGGAGGCGACGGAGATGCAGCCCCCCATGAGCGCCGCGAGCGAGCGACAGATGGAGAGACCCAGGCCCGTGCCGCCGTGCTTGCGGCACGACGAGTCGTCCACCTGCCGGAACGGCGTGAACAGCCGTGTGAGTGCGTCAGTGGAAATGCCCTCTCCGGTGTCCTTGATGTCTATCCTCACCCACACCACTGCCCTCCGCTCCTCCCCACCCTCATCCCCATCCCCATCCCCATGCGTATCCCCATCCCCATGCTCTTGCCCATGGGTATGCACTGCCCCATGTGCATCCCTTTCAGCGTGTCCTTCCCCCCCTCTCCTCCCTGGTGCACTTCCCCTTGCATCTGGTCTCTCCTGCAATATTGCTTCCCCTGCCTCTGCCCCTTCTCCTGACCCTGCCTCAGCCCCTGCCCCTGCATCGTCTGCCACGTCCCTGGCCTGACCCGCCCGACACTCGCCCTCGCCGCCTCTAACCACTTCCCCTCGGACCTCCTCACTTATGTCACCTCCAAGGAAAGGGAGTGTGGGAAAGCAGGGGCGACTGGGTGCGGAGAAGCCATTGAGAACACATCATCTTCTGCTGCACCATCTGCTGTAGTAGCATCTACTGCAGCGTCTGCGGGGGCTGGCGCTGATATTGGCGTTTGAGGAGCCACATGCAGGGGGCGTGCAGGGGCGAGTGGGTGCAGAGAGGTGATCGAGAACACTGCATCGTCTGCTGCCGCATCTGCTGCTGCTGATGCAGCCACAGCGACGAACTCAGGATCCACACTCTCACCACTCTCACTGCCAGTGTTCACCCCCGGGGATGCTGTCTCCACCCCAGCACGCACTTCATTGCTCTCTGCAATGCGTGCGGCCCTTAGCACTGCTGCTACAGCTGCCACCTTCCCCTCTGCTGCCAAATCACTGGCCTCTGCTTCCACCACTGCTTCAACTCCCCCCTCTGCCCCTGCGCCCCCCACTGCCACTACATCACGATCAGCCAAAAGGCAAGCTCGTTTCTCAGGAGCCCCACCACCACTGCCCCTGCACTCTGTGGCTTCTGCTCGCGCATGCTCCGTCTCACCGCGCCGCCGCTTCCTTCCTGCAGGCACCAAGGCGCCTTCCGCTTCCTTTTCAGGCACAAGGGGCGGGTCGAGGGGGGCCGTGGTTTCAGCCTCAGGGTCGAAGGGGATGTGTGCTGGGGCGGCACAAGGAGCGCCCTGCTGCTTCTCAGGCACAACTGGAGGGCCAAGGGGGTCCGTAGTTTCATGGTCGAGGGGGTCCGTGGTTTCATGGCCGAGGGGGTCCGTAGTTTCATGGCCGAGAGGGTCCGTGGTTTCATGGTCGAGGGGGGCCGTGGTTTCATGGTCGAGGGGGGCCGTAGTTTCATGGTCGAGGGGGGCCGTGGTTTCATGGTCGAGGGGGGCCGTGGTTTCAGCCTCAGGGTCGAAGGGGTTGTGTGCTGGGGCGGCGGAGAGGAGGACGTGGCCGTGGTCGGTGAACTTGATGGCGTTGGAGAGCAGATTGAGGAGGATCTGCCTCACCCGCAGCTGATCCCCCTCCACCCACTCCGGCACGCCCCCTCCCACCCGGCTCTGCAACTGCGGGAACCGAGGGGCGGGGGGAGGGAGGAGGCGGAGGAGGGGGGGGGGAGGAGTAGAGCAAACAGGAGAGGAGGTGCAATGAGAAAATATCGAAACGCAGGGAGGGGACAGGAAATGGGAGATGGGAAACAGGAAACAGGGGACAGGGCGACCACTTAACGCCCAGTCAGAACTCAGCCAGCAATTACTATATCTTACCGCAAGCTTCTTGTTCTCGGCAGCTGGCTTGACCGCCTCAACACACTCCGCCACCGTCTCCCGGAGGTTAAACGGGCAGCAGTCCAGCAGCAAGGAGTGCGTCTCAATCTTGGTAATATCCAGCACATCCGATATGATATGGATGAGCGCAGTGCCCGAGGAGGAGATGACGTCGACGTAGGAGCGCTGCTGCGGGGTGAGGGGGGTGCGGAGGAGCAGCTCGGCGACACCGATGACGCCATTCATGGGGGTGCGCAGCTCATGGCTCATGTTCGCCAGGAACCGGTTCTTCGCCTCGTTGCCCGCCTCTGCTGCCTCCTTGGCCGCCTTCAGCTCCTCCTCCTTGCGCTTCATCTCCGTTATGTCGTGCCACACCAGCAGGTAGAAGCGCTCTCCGTTGATCGTCACCATCTGCAGAGAAAATGCACATCGGGACGTAAGGGGAAGCTGTTTAAGTGGCATCTCAAAATGAGGTGCTTCATCACGGTAAGGCGTGCCACACCAGCAGGTAGAAGCGCTCACCGTTGATCGTCACCAACTGCAGGGAGAAAAGGTGAGGGCATGTGGGGGCCGGAGATGTAGGGACGGCCACTTGAACGGCGCACACTCCGTTATTCCTAGTGCATACAACACGGAGCTTCCGCTCACCTTGACCTTCGCCAGCACGTGAAACTCTGAGCCGTCCAATCGGGTGTGCACCCACTCGAACGGCGCACACTCCCTTCGCTCCATCATCTCCGCGAGAAGCTCCTTGAATAGCTCCAAACTTTCCCGCCCGCACGGCTGGCGCACGGGGGAGTGTTCGAGGAGGTAGCCCTTGCCGAGGCTCGCCAGGGCGGCGGATGTGGAGGGGAACCCGAGGATCTGGGCGGCAGCAGGATTGAGGTCGTGCGGTATGTGTTCAACTGTGTTGATAAGAATAGGGTCCTGTGAGGAGGTGGGCAGAGAGGAAGGGGAGGGGCGGAAGGGTGGGGTGCAGCAGGATTGAGGTCGTGCGGCATGTGTTCAACTGTGTTGATAAGAATAGGGTCCTGTGAGGAGGTGGGCAGAGAGGAAGGGGAGGGGCGGAAGGGTGGGGTGCAGCAGGATTGAGGTCGTGCGGCATGTGTTCAACTGTGTTGATAAGAATAGGGTCCTGTGAGGAGGTGGGCAGAGAGGAAGGGGAGGGGCGGAAGGGTGGGGTGCAGCAGGATTGAGGTCGTGCGGCATGTGTTCAACTGTGTTGATAAGAATAGGGTCCTGTGAGGAGGTGGGCAGAGAGGAAGGGGAGGGGCGGAAGGGTGGGGTGCAGCAGGATTGAGGTCGTGCGGCATGTGTTCAACTGTGTTGATAAGAATAGGGTCCTGTGAGGAGGTGGGCAGAGAGGAAGGGGAGGGGCGGAAGGGTGGGGTGCAGCAGGATTGAGGTCGTGCGGCATGTGTTCAACTGTGTTGATAAGAATAGGGTCCTGTGAGGAGGTGGGCAGAGAGGAAGGGGAGGGGCGGAAGGGTGGGGTGCAGCAGGATTGAGGTCGTGCGGCATGTGTTCAACTGTGTTGATAAGAATAGGGTCCTGTGAGGAGGTGGGCAGAGAGGAAGGGGAGGGGCGGAAGGGTGGGGTGCAGCAGGATTGAGGTCGTGCGGCATGTGTTCAACTGTGTTGATAAGAATAGGGTCCTGTGAGGAGGTGGGCAGAGAGGAAGGGGAGGGGCGGAAGGGTGGGGTGCAGCAGGATTGAGGTCGTGCGGCATGTGTTCAACTGTGTTGATAAGAATAGGGTCCTGTGAGGAGGTGGGCAGAGAGGAAGGGGAGGGGCGGAAGGGTGGGGTGCAGCAGGATTGAGGTCGTGCGGCATGTGTTCAACTGTGTTGATAAGAATAGGGTCCTGTGAGGAGGTGGGCAGAGAGGAAGGGGAGGGGCGGAAGGGTGGGGTGCAGCAGGATTGAGGTCGTGCGGCATGTGTTCAACTGTGTTGATAAGAATAGGGTCCTGTGAGGAGGTGGGCAGAGAGGAAGGGGAGGGGCGGAAGGGTGGGGTGCAGCAGGATTGAGGTCGTGCGGCATGTGTTCAACTGTGTTGATAAGAATAGGGTCCTGTGAGGAGGTGGGCAGAGAGGAAGGGGAGGGGCGGAAGGGTGGGGTGCAGCAGGATTGAGGTCGTGCGGCATGTGTTCAGCTGTGTTGATAAGAATAGGGTCCTGTGAGGAGGTGGGCAGAGAGGAAGGGGAGGGGCGGAAGGGTGGGGTGCAGCAGGATTGAGGTCGTGCGGCATGTGTTCAACTGTGTTGATAAGAATAGGGTCCTGTGAGGAGGTGGGCAGAGAGGAAGGGGAGGGGCGGAAGGGTGGGGTGCAGCAGGATTGAGGTCGTGCGGCATGTGTTCAACTGTGTTGATAAGAATAGGGTCCTGTGAGGAGGTGGGCAGAGAGGAAGGGGAGGGGCGGAAGGGTGGGGTGCAGCAGGATTGAGGTCGTGCGGCATGTGTTCAACTGTGTTGATAAGAATAGGGTCCTGCAGGGAGGTGCGACGAGAGGAGGGGGAGAGAACGGAGGTGATTTGAGGCAATAGTGATCAAGAAAACGGGTTGCTGTGGGGAACGGGAAGGAGTGGAGAATGATGGCGCTTGTCGAATGGCGTTGCCTCCCCATCGGCATGTCAAAGATCGCTGTCCCACCATCGGCATGTCAAAGATCGCTGTCTCACCATGGCCATGTCGAATACCGCCATCTCACCATGGCCTCGCCATCTCGCCATGCACGTGCCGGCTCACCATGGACATGTCGAAGATGGCATGGAACTTGGCGCTCTCATGGCTCCACTGCAGCGACGTTTTAGTGGGGTGGGGTGGGGAGCGGGTGGAGAGTGATGGTGGGAGGGGGACGAGTGGAGTGATGGTGCTTGTGGCATACCACCATGATCTCACCATGGACATGTCGAAGATGGCATGGAACTTGGCGCTCTCATGGCTCCACTGCAGCGACCGCTTGACTCCCTTCAGCATAACCACCATCTGCTGCAATGCGTCCATGCTGCCATCTCCGCTCTCCACACCACCGTCCCCTCTGCTGCACCCTCCACTCGCCCCGTCAATCCCACTCGCCTCTCCACTCCCTGTCGCCTGCTCTCCCCTCCCAACACCCTCCTCACCCAGCTCTGCCTCCCTGGCGTCGCAGCCGCTGTCAGCGCCACTGCTGTGGACGCCGCTGTTGCTGCTCCTGCTGCTTCTTCCCGCGTGCTGCTGCTCCTCCCCCTCGTTGGAAGCAGGGCGGGTGACATTAGCGGGAGCGACTCTAGCGGGTGAGGACTCATGGTGTGAGCTGTGATGGTGCGAGTCATAGTTTGCAGCCATGTCCTGGTGAGAGGCCATGACAGGCCCAACAGAATCCTCCAACCGCTGCAGCAGGCGATCCTGCCATGGGGAAGGGAGCAGAGCGAGGAAGATAAGCAATAAACAATCTCGAAGGCGGCTGACAGGTGGAGAGGTGGAGAGAGACAATGGAGAGATAGTGGGCGAGACAGTGGCGAGACAGTGGCGAGAGAGAGTGGAGAGGCGCAGTTGAGGAGAGAGGGTGGAGAGGCGAGAGCGCCACTAACACAGTGAGCGACCTCGGTGTTGTTGTCTGTCTTGGCCAAACAAAGGCACCCCTCCGTCCGCCATCCCTCCACCCACCCCTTCCTCCCTCTCACCTCTTGCTTCCTCCGCTCGGAAATATCCAGGAAAGTGCAGAAAATCATCCTCGGCTCGCAGCCTCCGCCGCTCAGACCTTCCCGGGCTGTACACGTGGCATCGCCCTCACGAAGACTCCTCGTGGCAAGGGAGACGGACATCTCAAGCCATCGCCACTCATTGCTGCATATGCTGTATTTGACTTCCTCCTTTCTCTCATTTCCCTTCCCCTGTTCCTCCTCTCCCCTTCCCTCTCCCACCCCTCTCCCCTTTTTCCTCCCATGTCCCTCCTCTCCCCATCCCTCTCCCTGGGGCTCTCCCCTCGTTTCTCCCCCCTCATCCCCCTTCTGCTCTCGCCCATCTCCTCCTCCGAGGGCTGTCAGCCTCACCCCAACGCGCCTCTGCGCTCTGCCGCCGTCAGAGGCAGCACATCCAGCCAACACAGCCTGTGGGGAGGGGTGAGACAGGAAATATTCCGGGGAACAAGAATTGAGAACAAGGAAGATGGCGATGTGAACAATTGAGATGTGCCGAACTGTGTTGAACACAAGGGTTGGAAATGGCAGCAGAACCGACTTGGTTACTGAAGCGAATAAGGCGTGGATGCACACAGCTGCCGATAAGAAGGATCAGAGTCCGGATATGGCTCCCAAGGAACGCATGTTGGGACCTGCGAGAGATGGTGCTTGCCTGAGCGGAAGCTCTGTCTGCTGGGTGAACCAATGGCAGGAAGCTCTTTCCTATGATCTGCGTGCGTTCGCACTGCGCGCCGAGCAGGTCCAACAGCGCAGAGCTGCTCGGAAGCCATGATGTGGACAGGGAAACACGCCGGATGAATGAAGATCATGAGGATGAGAAGTCGCGGCACCACAGTGGGAACGGAACTTCAACGGCAACAAACTTGTTGGGTAAAGAAAACAGTTAAAACTGTTCGTTTCTTTTGGGTGAAGTCCTGGACTAATTAACAACCACGTCCGCTCCTCGAACAATTTATCTTGGGGCCCTGAACGAAACCATGTACCCTTCTTATTCTTAGCAGCAACATACAGCGTGGAAGCTCACTTGCACTTTTTAGCTCATCCACAGCCTTTGACCCCTACCTGCATTGCAATATTCGGTTCTCCTTCGCGTCGCTGCTGATGGTGAGCAGAGCAGCGGGAACAGCTTGAAATAGAGAGTCCTGTAAAAGTGACGAGAATGTCGACATAATTGATTCTAGATGAAGCAGCCACGGCAGCCTCGTTCTAGGAGTATACGATACTTCCGTCGTTACACCAATTTTACTTGACTGTATTTGACCAATTTCACTTTCATCGACATGATTGGTTTTCCTGTTTCAATCCTGGCTGCAACCAAATAATGAAAACATTATCGGAAGCTCTAAATTGGATGAGGCTGCTGCTATCGCAAGGAACAGGGAAAACACTGGTCGTAGTAGCGCTCGGCATGTAAGCATTACCTCAACAAATGCTCAATGGAAGGGTTTGTTGGTCAGGACAGGACAGGAGCAACCCTAGCAGATGCAGCTCATTCCACACAAGCAGTATGGGCGCAGAAACAAACCATTCCTCAGGGATCTGCTCTGTGATAGCAGCAAGACCTTCCTGATTCCGTTCTGCTACGTGTAATCGACAATCTGAGAAACACTCGCAGCAGCCCTCCAAAATAGCAGATGGGTCCAACGAACCCAATGCAAAGCAGTTTGCGAGGCGGGGGATTCCAATCGAATTCGTCAGGGGACTTGATGCCCTAAGGATCGGATGCGGAGTGGCAGCAGCGCGAATGAGGTGGGACGGATGGGATGCGAGGAGCTGGGAAATATACGATGCAGCTGGATGGGACGAAATCGGGGGTGGGATGAAATGAAATGGGATGGGATCTTGAGATCAAGGGATGCGATGGTGTCCGTGGCAGGATGAAGGAGTGAGGTAGGGTGGAGAGGGATATGCTTTGTGGTGCGATTAGATGGACAGAAAGTGGCGAGTCGGTGTTTCTTTGTGGTGCGGTTGGTTCCTTATGGCGATTCGCGCGTGCACTGCTGCTTTTCACGAGATTTTGTTTCACGTGGACCCAGTCAGTGCTGGCAAAGGGAGTGTCGGCATACAGTATCTGATGCGATGGGATGCCGAAGATCTGGTTGAAACTGGTGCCACTTGCTCTTGCTTCGTCGAATTAGGGGTGTTTGACCCTAGCTAGTCCAGGTCAGTGTGCACAGCTGTTGTTGTCAACTTCATTTCTAGCCTCATTGGACTAAGCATGTTTTCCTAAGAAATTTCCCCATGTTTTTTTTGTGTGGAATTGACCTTTCTAACCAGGTACAGCCTGCACGGGAGTCAGCGAGAAATGGACGACTTGGCGCTGCCATAACCATCTGCTACACCAATGCTGCCATGTGCCACAGCCATGTTACTACACCATATTATTACCACTATAGCACCATCACATTTCAAATCGAGTACTTCAAGAATAAAAATAGCACCCACCAAAACACTAGCACTTCTATTGGAATGTGGAAAGAATTCTTAGTGGGAAAACGATAAGTGTGTCGAGTCCTAGGGTTGTCAGTAAAATGTAGGGGAGGTGGTGGAGAGCTGCTGGTGTCCCAAGGATGACTTAGCTGCCAATTCTGCACCAAGCATCTGCAGAGAAGCAACACAGTACCAAGGGAACAAGACAATGTTTCAATGAATTAAGGGTTTATTAAGCAATCAGAGTCAAACGACAAACGACAGGGAAAGAGACAAGGGTACCAAGGGCCAGTAGGGAAGTGATAGAAGCGGAATGCACAGAAAATCCACTCACCCTGTACTTAGGTGCTGCTTCCGCTCCCTTTGTCAAAAATCTTCCACTGCCATGGCCACTGTCCCCCCACTCATCCCCACCCAGCACATAACCCTTCTCCCCACCTCCCCCAACCCCAAGCGCCTCTGCCCCCACTTCCCTCCCTGAAAAGCTACTAGCACAGTCCGAGAAGCTGCCACTGCTGCTCAGCCCTTCGTGTGTGCCGTCCCCGTCCCCGTCCCCATACCCATCCCCATCCCCATCGCCCCATTCGTCACTCTCACTAAACCCCGCCACTTCTGTCGTCGCATCAGTAACACTCCACATCTCCGTTCCTTCGGTAATCCCATCCGCATCCTCGCGATCTGAACCGTCCATCGACCCTCCCCCGCCGGACACCCCTCCTCGCTCTCCCATCCGCCTCCACCTCCCCCCTCTCCGGCTGCCTCTCCTCTGCCCGCCCTCGCTCCGGCACCTCTCCTTTTCCTCGTTATTGTCCCGCCCGGTATAGTCACTATCGCCTTCAGGCTCGTCGCTGCACTGGCTTGAGCCGATAATATCGCCCCACACGCTCAACCCGCCGTCCACACAGGCAACGAGGGAGAGGAGCGAGTCGGAATGGTGGAGAGCAGAGGCGGCAGAGGGCGGGTGAGTGTAAGAGGAGAGCAGCAACGCGTGGATTTTGCTCATGGGATGCACATTATTACTCATGGAGCCATTGATTGAGCTGCTGTTGATAGAGTTGCTCGAGTTGCTGATTCCGCCATTGCTGCCACTGCTGCTGTTGCTGTTGCTGTTGCTTGTTCCTAGGGCGTGTTTCACAGGCAAAGTTCGATCAGGGGACGCGACCCCAGCTAAAGCTTGATCCACCACTGACAGAGCCGCACACACCTCCTCTGCCACCTCCACCACCACTTGCTCCCCCCACTCCCCGCCCTCCCCACACCCCTCACTTATCTCTGCCATTCCAAACGCCTCTCGCCCTCCTGCCACCCCTCCTCCTCCTGCTCCCGCGTTGCCCCAGCAGCCCCACTGCCTCCTCCCGCTGCTGCCAGCATTGGAAGGGGAAGCACCACTGGTGGAGGAGCCTCGAGGGGGAGTAGAGGGGCGGCGGGGGCTGCGAGGCACATCACCCAACCTCCCCCGGCCGTTAGAACCGCCACCAGTCCCGCCTGACTGGCCCCTCCCGTGCACCCCTTCCAATCCCACTCCAACCCCTCCAAACCCATCTGCACCTGCCCCAACGTCCCCAGCACCGCTCCCAACACCCGTGCCACCAGCAGCACCAGGGCCGGTGTTGTTGGTTTGGGAGCGGCGGCGGGAGGAGGGTTTGCGCGTGGAGCATTCGCCACAGGTGGCACAGAGCAGCTGGTCTGGGAAGAGAGGCGGGAAGCCGCAGGCAGAGCACGCGTTGGGCTGCCAGCGCTGCACTCCTGGGAGGATAGGGCCGCCAAACACCTGCACGAGAGAACCAGAGGGATCAGGGGCAGCGGCAGCAGCATAGGGGGACGTTGAAGTGAGCAGAAGAGCCTTGCACAGAGCAGGCGTTGGGCTGCCAGCGCTGCACCCGTGGGAGCACAGGTCCGCCAAACACCTGCAATACAGGGGCAGCAGGGGCAGCAAGGGTGCAAGCAGCATGCGCGGGCATTAGAGTTGACAAAATGACCTTGAGTTGTGATTCTTAAGAGATTGCCCTTGCATGGAGAGCTTAACCCACACACACAGGCAGCCATACATGCATGCAGGCTCGGTACCAAAGCTGCCACCGCACCCGTTTGCAGGCTCGGTACCAAAGCTGGCACCTTACCTGCATGCAGGTTTGGTATCAGTGCAGGTTCTTTCTAAGTGCAGGTTCGGGAGAGACCGCAGTACCTGCCGGAAGGCTTGGTAGTAGTGCAGATGCTCGGGGTCCCGTATCCGAACCTGGTCCTCCCTCTTCACCCTCTGCCTCTCCACCTGAAACTCCTCCCGTGCCATTCGCCTTGCAAAGTGACGCGTCAGTGCTACTGTGCCGGCTCCCACCTGATGTGTGAGGGCGAGAGATCATAATCATAACCAGGGGAGGGCAAAGAGAGAAGGGGGGACATTGAGTGGACTCGTCTCACCCTCTGCCTCTCCACCTGAAACTCCTCCCGTGCCATCCTCCTTGCAAAGTGACGTGTCAGTGCCACTGTGCCGGCTCCCACATGGTGTGGGGGAGAGAGGTCAGAAGGGCAAGCAGCACAGAGGGGATTGAGTAAACTTAGCCTACTCTCTACTCCATCTGAACTCCTCCCTCCCATCCTGTGTGCAAAGCGGCGTGTCAGTGCCACTGTCCTGGCTCCCACCTGATGGTGAGAGGTGAGTGTAGACGAGGGAAAGCCGAGGAGGGGAAGCGGGAAGCAGAGGAGGGGCGCGGAGGAAAAGCAGATTAGGGGAGGGGGGCAGAAAAGATTGAGTTCACCCAGCCCATGTTCCGCCTCTATCGTTTGCAAACGAAACTCCTCCCGCCCCATTTCCCTTGTGAAGTGAATGCCAATGAAAATGTGCCAGCTCCACGACAACCGACCCTAAACCCCCTCCACCACTCTGCATACCTCGATGGGGTCCTTGGGCCGGCGAGCAGAGACCACTTCAGGGAAGGCCATGCGCAGCAGGAGATTGCCCTCGTTATAGTCACACCACTCCTCGCTGCGCCCCTCCCCCAGCAGCTCGTCTTTGGTCAGCCCCAACGCGAACTCCTGCAGGGCCGGGTGCAGGAACGGCTGCCGAACCTGCAGGTCCGGAGACAGAGTGGAAAGAGTTGGGCAGGAGGAGGGGGAAAAAAGGGGAAAGAGCAGAGGAAAACTGAGGAAAGAGTAGAGAAGGGAGCCAACACAGAGTAATAGAAGAACTCACGTCTAGGCAAGGTACTGAGACGCTACAAAGCATAGATGTCTTTAGAGGTGAGAGAACCCACCTCAAGACCCAGTGCCTGAGCGAGGTCCCTACAGGGGAAGCGCAGCACATCCACCATGTGGTGCCGACACTCCTGTAGCTTGGCATCGCTCATTCGCACCATGAAGTCAAACCTGGCACATGGGGACAGGTACAGAAGGGGAGCGGTGCAACGGGGGAGCGGGGGCAGAATCAGACAAACATGCACGCAAGGCGCTTTAAACACTCCTGCAGCTTGGCATCGCTCATTCGCACCATGAAGTCAAATCTGCCACCACGCAGAGGAGAGATGCAAGCGGGGGACAGATGCACACGGGAACAGCAGGCACAAACAGACAACCATGCGTTGAGGTGCCTGAAGCAAACAGGGACAGATATGGCCAGCGAAACCAAGGGCAGATGGTGAAAATGTAATGCTGCCAATCCTATTTCTAACCCTTTTCCCTTCCACCAACCCCCCCCCCCCCCCCCTCATCCCCTCCCCCATGTGGCACTCACGCTGTGAAGACCTCGTTCGCGCCATCCCCCACCCTCACCGAGCAGAAGCCCTGCCGCTCTGTCCATCCCAGCCCCCCATGCCACTTGTCCTAACTGACAGAACGAGCATAGCCCCTTCCCCTTTCCCCTCTCCCTCTCCCTCTCCCTTCCCCTCCCATTCCTCCCCACAAGGCACTCACGCTGTGAACAGCTCGTCCGCGCCATCCCCCACCATCACCGAGCAAAACCCCTGGCGCTATGCGCATATCCCTCCCCATTCCCTGCCCCCCCCCTTCCCCACAATATAACAACCATAGTCCCTTCCCCCCCTTCAATGCACTCACGCTGTGAAGAGCTCGTCTGCGCCATCGCCCACCATCACGGAGCAGAAGCCCTGCCGCTGTGCGCATATCCCTGCCCTCTCCCATTCCACGCCCCCCCCAATAGAACAATCATTCCCCGTCCACCCCCCTTCAATGCACTCGCGCAGTGAAGGCCCTCCCCGTTCCCTGCCCCCCCCTTCCCCACAATATAACAACCATAGTCCCTTCCCCCCCTTCAATGCACTCACGCTGTGAACAGCTCGTCCGCGCAGTCCCCCACCATCACTGAGCAGAAGCCCTGGCGCCCTGCCAAACATCCCTTCCCACTCCCTCCTAAGCCCTCCATTCCCAATGCCCTCCCCAGTCATTCCCTCCCCGCCCCTCCCTTCCCCTTCCCATCCCTCCCCCCCAAGGCACTCACGCTGTGAACAGCTCGTCCGCGCCATCGCCCACCATCACGGAGCAGAACCCCTGCCGCTGTGTGTATACCCTTTCCCATTCCCTCCCCCACGCCCTCCTCCCCCCAGCACTCACGCAGTGAAGAGCTCGTCCGCGCCATCGCCCACCATCACGGAGCAAAAGCCCTGCCGCTTGGCCTCCCTCAGCCCCGCCGCCAGCACCACGCCCATACGGATCTGCACCAGGGCGGGGAGGGGCAACGCGCGGGGGAGAAGGGGAAGGGGCGGAGATGAATACACGGCGGACCCGCCCAGAGAGCCGCTTGGGCTCCCACAAACAGCATTGCGGCAGGGAGCGCTATAGCAACTCTCCAAGAACAATGATGTTGCAGGGTGTTTTTGAGAATTCTCAAACACCCCCCAAGTGCTGCTTGGGCTCCCACAAACAGCATTGCGGCAGGGAGCGCTATAGCAACTCTCCAAGAACAATCGCTCACCTCAGCGGGGTCGAAGTGACTTCTGAGTCGACTCAAAAGTCACCTTTTGAGTCGACTCAGGAGCGCTATAGCAACTCTCCAAGAACAATCGCTCACCTCAGCGGGGTCGAAGTGACTTTTGAGTCGACTCAGAAGTCACCTTTTGAGTCGACTCAGGAGTGCTATAGCAACTCTCCAAGAACAATCGCTCACCTCAGCGGGGTCGAAGCTCTTGAGCACGCGCACCACGAACCGCAACTCCGTTTCCAGCAGATGCTCTGGCTGGCACCCTACCTAGGTCACACCTGGTCACACCTGGTCACACTGCAAGCTTCAGAACCAACACAGTCACGCGCTCACCTCAGCGGGGTCGAAGCTCTTCAATACGCGCACCACAAACCGCAACTCCGTCTCCAACAGATGCTCCGGCTGAAACCCTGGCCCGCCCCCCACAAACACATGCCCCCCGCTCCCTCCCCCGCCCATCCCCGCGCCCAGCTGACACCCGCGCGCGGCCGCCGCCGCGGGGAGCCTGTCCGCGGCCTTGGGGCTCGCGAGGACGGTGATCGCGGCGGCTATGCTGCCCGGCCAGATGAGTGAGGTGGCGGCGTGCGCGATTATGGTGGAGGCTAGTCCGCCTGAGAGGAGAAGGCAGTCCGCGGGGAGCGAGTCCTCTATGGTCGCGAGGAAGAGCGCGCGCAGCTGCGCCGCCTTCAGCGCCGCGCCTGTGAGGGAGATGGCGGGCGGAGGGGGGGAGGCGGGGGAAGCGTCCTCCTGCTGCTGCTCCTCCTCCTGCTGCGGCTCCTGCTCCTGCTGCGGCTGCTGGTAAAGCTGTGTCGTTGCCTCTGGCTGCGTCTGTTGCTGTGCCCCCTCCTCTAACCTCAACTGGGTCAGAAACAGCTGCTGTATCCGCTCCTGCTCCTGCTCCTGCTCCTGCTCCTGCTCCTGCTCCTGCTCCTGCTCCTGCTCCTGCTCCTCCTGCGCTAATTTCTGCGCCTGCTCCTGCACTTGCTCCTGCGCTTGCGATTCCTCTATCCTCACTCCCTCTTCCTTCCTCTCCGCCTCTATCCCCCCCTCCTCCGCGTCTTTTCCGCCTTTCCCCCGCTTCAGCCCCCACAGCGACCGCCTGGAGCTGCGCCCGGGCGGGGAGGGGAGGGGCGCCAAGGGCTCGGGAGCGGGCGCGGGGGGCGCAGCACTTGCGCCACCCGCCAGGCTGGTAGAAGCGCCAGCACCGGCGGCAGCAGCGGCAGCGGCGGCGGCGGCGGCAGCAGCGGCGGCTGCGGCGCTGCTGCTTGCTGTTGTGACACTTCCCGTGTAACCAGGAGGCGGGCGAAGAGGAACAAAAGCTTCGTTGTTCGCCACCTTCGCCGCCTCTCCCTTGCTGCTCCCCTGCCCTTGCGACCCTTGCGTCCCTTGCTGTTTCCCCCCCACTTTCGCCACCAAAGCTGCCTCCCGCGCCGCTTCCTTCGCGCCCTTAGCAGCTGCTTCCGATGCCAATTGCGCGAACCACCCCTCCCCCTCCTCTCCGCTCCCGCCTCCCCTATCCCCCGCGCTACCGCTCCCCCCAGCGCCCCCCATCCCCGCGTCCAGCCTTCCCCAGTTTCCCCCTGCTTGATCAACCCCTCCGCCATCCCCCAGGAGCGCGCGCCACGCCCCCACGCACCCGCCTGTTAACTGCGCGTACGCCCTCCCCTCGTACTTAATCTCGATCTCCGGAGATTCCGCGCCTGCTGCCCCGTGTCCCGAGCCCATGACGCGGTTGTTGCGAAACGAGGAAAGGGGGGCGTTATTATCACCGCCACCAGCAACGCCAGAGCGGTTCAATGCGGTTTTATGGTGTGGGAACCGGCGCGCATGAAGAATCTCCACCATGATTTCCGCCGACTCGACTATAGTCGGCCCGGAGTTGTTAAAGTAACGGTCGCCGTCAGCCACGAAGACGGAGTCCGTCTGAACCGCTCTCAACCGGTTCCACTGGGGCAAATCGTCCAAGTTAAGAAACTCTCTTAGAACCGCCTCCATGGACAAGCCGCAGCACATGGCGATGATGACGTCAGGGTCCAAAGATAGAAGGGTTTCCAAAGTTAGCATGGCCGTGCGCTCCCCGGGCTGCAAGCGGAAAAAGGGGGGGAACGGGGATGAGGAAGGGAGGAAAAGGGGAAAAAGCGGGGAAGGGGGGAATCGGGAAAGGGGGGAAACAGAGTTGGGTGGCGTCGAGGGGACAAATGGGGGAAACAGAAATGATACAAGCGCGTGAGTGTCAAATATAGCCTTGTCTACGCGTGCCTCGGTACCTGCATTTCCCATGTCTCACCTCCCCATCTCTCACCTCCCCCGTGCGTCACCTCCCCCATGTCTCACCTTCCCCGACAGGCTCTTCCCTCCCGCGCATGCGACGATCTCCGGAACCCAGAACCCCGCGCCCATGAGCGGGTGCAGCCACTGCAGGCACACCACGCGCACGCGCGGAGACGACCCGCGGAGCGGAACCTGCCGGCGCACGAGCGACCACCGCGCCTTGAGCGTCTGCACGAGCACGCAGCCTTTCTCCCTGTGCCCGACGGCCGCCGCGACCTGAACCATGTTGTCCCACACGTCCGAGATTGTGATTGGCTTGAGCGACACCACGTGGCACACGTGCCCTGACTCCTCGCGCTGCTTGAAGTAGTCCGCGCACGCCGCCTCGAGGTCCGCTACAGTCACGAGGCACACGTCGCACGCGTCCTGCGTTATAATCACATCCGGCTGCAGTCGCTTTATTGCTTCGACGTCCACGTGGTAACGCGAGAGGCCTTTCCGCACGCGCTGCGACAGCTGCGGTTGGGGAACGGGAGAGCGGGAAAAAGGGAGCGAAAACGGGGAAGGGGGGGATGAGCAAAAGGAGGGCAGGAAAGCTGTGATTATACGAGGCACGACGCGACGACACGAATGTAAATGTTTCCGGGAAGAGTCGTGTTTTGAGTCGACTCAAAATTGAACGAGGCAGGACGCGACGACGACACGAATGTGAATGTGGGGAGGGGGGGGGGGGGGGAGGGGACCTATCGAATTGCCACGCCACAATGCACCCAGATGGTCTGCACGGTTCCGCGAGAGACCCGCGCACGCGAGAGATTAAGAGGGCGGGGAATGAGAGGGTGGCATGGCTGGGGAATGGCTGGAAATGAAGGGAATATGGTGGTAACGTGGAGAGGGGAGCAAGAGAGGGGCCAGGGCAGGAGAGGGGCCGGGGGAGAGGGGGGTGGGGAGGGAAAGAGATTGGAGGGGTGGGGTGGGGTGGGGGGAGGCGGGGAGGGAGGAGGGATCGTCTACGGCTCAACATGCGCGCACTTACCGTATCGTGCGCGGTGCCGCAGCTCTGCTTCTCCATGCCCGCTGCCGCCGCGGGCGCCGTGACGCACGGCAGCGCGAGCACGGACGGCGGAAACTTGCACTCGTGCGACCGCCCCACCAGCAAATGCTCCAATCCTAGCGTCGCCACCACCTCCGTGGCCGCCCCTAGAAGTGATACAACCCTAAGCGACCCGGCCCTACTCCTGTCCCGGTCTCTGTTCCCGCCGCCGACGCCACCCCTGATGCTGCTCGTTACGCTCGCGCTGGTTGCGCCGTTCGTCCCGCCGTGTCGGCCGCTGCTGGCGGTCGCGCTCCCGCTCTCGCTTCCGCTGCTGCTGGCTCGGCTGCTCGCGCCCGAGGTTCGGTCTGACCCTTCGAGGCTCGGCACTGGCGGCTCCATCCGAAGCTTCATCTGCGGGACTGGCGAGGTGCCGTCGTGCTGCTTCGATGAAGCTTCCTTGGCCTTCCTGTGGATGCGCAGCGAGTCAGCCGTTTGGAGAGCCATAGGCGACTCATCGTCTCTAACGGAACGGTCTATAGAGGGGATGCCGTCAACGGGACGCTCCAAAGAGGAGCGTGCTGAGGTGGAACGGGAGGAGGAGGAGGAGAGGGAGGAGGCGGAAGGAACGGAAGAGACTGCGGTGGAGGAAGGAGACGCAAGAGGAAGACAATCGTCGTCAACCCTTGCCCTAGTAACCTCGATAGTTACGGCAGGCGGGCCCGGTTCGCTCTTCCCCGATGCATGGCTCCTAGGCTTATCCTTCTTGCCCTTCCCTTTCCAGTCCAATAACGAGCCTCCGCTGGAGGTTCGGTTAGGCTTGACCCGAGCCTCGTCTGGGATCTCCTCTCCTGCTGGCGGGACATGGTGGCCTTCCGTTGCTGCTAACGTAGGCTCGGCTGTTGCTGCTGCTGACGTGGACTTGGAACTGCCTCCCTTGCGACCATCTTTAAGAAGCGATAGCCAGCTACTGCTCTTCTTACGCGTTAGCGCCTGCTCGAGATGATGCATGGCTAATGTTACGTTCGACGGACAAAATCAACGGACAAGAAGGTTAATCAACAGATAGTGGCGATGTCTACCGCTAATGACTAATGTGGGAAATTAGCGACCCTGTGCTCATCACCTCCGAAGGTAACCTAGAGCCTCTAAACACGTATTGCTGCTGACTGTCCCTAAGATTCTGTCAACAAGAAAGTCACGATGCTGTTTCTTCCTTCGAGTTAGCCTAGGAACAACCTCCCAGAGGTGCATAGCTCGTCTAAAATCGTCTCAGGCGCATGTGACAGGACTGCAAACAAACCAGACTCTCCTCTCTGAGGACGACATTTTCCATAACCAGAATCGAGCTAAGACATGACACTGTAGCTGGGCAGAAAAGACGGGATAGGGTGGACTCCTTCCAAAGGGAGGAGAGATTGAGCGTGAAATTAGGGAGCTTGCTGGTTTGGTTTGGTTAGCAGGATGAGGGGAGGGGAGGTAAGTTGGGGAAAAACAGGTTTGGGAGGGGAGATTGGCTCGGTTGTGTGCCGAGCTGCGCAAAGCGTGGTTGCGCTGCCTTCGTGCTCGGCCCCACTTCGCCCCTACACTTCGATTTCGTCGAGGTCCGGTGCCTAAGCGCGCTCGGTTTGTCCTTCTCCGTAACTGAGCACCAGGCTTGGGTGAAACTTGTATATGCGAGAGCCGGTACAAGTGGCTCTGCGTTGCCCGAGCAAAACTTGGCTCAAGGAAGATCCCAAGGGACTGGTTTGGGATACAACCAAATAGCCTCCAAACCACTGTTATTCATCCGAGCCAAGCAGATGCATGTAAGGAGGGGTTGTGCCTTCTTGCTGAGGCAGGCTAGTATGGTATGACGAAGCAAAAGGGAACGAAACAAGAGCCAATCAGCGAAAGTTCTGCATGGAGCCTCTCGAAACAGCACAGCTGTGCGTTCGATCCGAGCCGATCAGCTGTGCTTTGTGGCATTTACCAAGCAGGCTACGACCTCGGCTTTGTCGAACGGAAAGTGTCATGCGAGGTTTGGGACCCAACCACAGTGACGGCATCCACTCAAAGCCAAACCGCGAAAAACGACGTTCTGGCTCGGCTGGGTGGGGCCTCACCCCGAAACCACCGCCGACGAGTTTGATTGGTGAAAGAACCAAGCGCCTCGAGGTGTTCCGAAAGCGCGGGGCCGTCGTCATCCGTGAACCACTCGCGCCGCTTGAAGCTGGGAGGTGACACCACCGAACTGTGACAAAAGCGACTGTCCAAAAAAAAATACTGTACTCTCCTGAAGGCATATCACATTCAATGGCAATATATATTTAGACTGCATGGACTTGCTCTACCAGTTCTGCCCCCCTTCCCAACCAATAGCACGAGCTGTAATCAAGTCCTAACAGCTAGCATGGTTTCAATTTTTTTTTTCCAAAAAAACCTAGAACTCAATTCCAGCATGTTCAGCTTCTCTCCGGCATCTTCATGCCACCACCCCTCTTCCTGCTCTCCAGCCTGTGAGTCGGGGCAAACGCATTGGCAGGGAAAAGGAGGGAGGAGAGAGGTATATGGGAGACAGTAAGGTTGAAAGTTGAAACCACGCGGATCAAAGCAAGCAAAATACGTGGGCAGTGGCAGGCAGGCAACTCACGAGGGGGCGAGCTTCCCCAGGCAGAGCAGGTACTCCCCGGTCTCCTCGTCAACCCAACAGGTGATCTCAATGCGGTGATCTGAATGTGGTAACCGCAGTCAGGCGTGCCCGGTAACAGGTGCAACGGATACAGCAGGAACTGGAGAGACCAGGCAACTCATGGAAAGCGAGCAACTCACGAGGGGGCGAGCTTCCCCAGGCAGAGCAGATACTCCCCGGTCTCCTCGTCAAACACGTTGCCCGTGATCTCAATGCGGTAACCGCAGTCAGGCGTGCCCGGTAACCCTCTCTTCATCAGCCGCTCAAGGTCCCTGTGGTGCAGCTCCCGGCCGTTCACATACACGCGGGTTGACCCGCCGGCGCAGGACACTGGAATTGGCACGCCAAAGTCAATGGCAGGCTGGCAGAGGAATGTGGGGGCAGAGGGGAAACGGGAATCAATCAAAGAAGAGGGTCACGTATAAGGGGGAAGGCTCCAGCCTCGAGGTCCCGGTGGTGCAGCTCCCTGCCATTCACGTACACTCGGGTTGACCCGCCGGCACACGATACTGGAATTGGCACACCAAAGTCGATGGCAGGCTGGTGAGAGCATGGGGGCGGGGTGGGGGGTGGGGGGTGGGGGGTGGGTGGAGGGTGGTTCAGGTCCCTGTGGTGCAGCTCCCTGCCGTTCACGTACACCCGGGTTGACCCGCCGGCACACGACACTGGAATTGGCACGCCAAAGTCAATGGCAGGCTGGTGTGGGGAGCAGGGGTTCAGAGGGGAGAAGGGGTTGTGACGATGGGATGGGATGAGGAGCCTTGAGGTCCCGGTGGTGCAGCTCCCTGCCGTTCACGTACACACGGGTTGACCCTTTGGCACACGACACTGGAATCGACACGCCAAAGTCAATGGCAGGCTGGCAGGGGGGGATGGGGGGAAAGGGGAATCAAACGAGACGGTCAAGTATAGGTGGAAGGCTCCAGCCTTGAGGTCCCTGTGGTGCAGCTCCCTGCCATTCACGTTCGGGTTGAGCCCCCGGCACATGATTGGGGCTTTGGCACCCCCAAGTCAATGGCAGGCTGGCATGAGGAGTGGGGGAGACACGGGGTAGAAGGGGGGCAGGAAGAGAGGCGAAGGGAAACGAGAGAGGGAAAGAAGAGTAAGTTACCATGGGACGAGAACGAGATTTGGGGAGGAAGGAAAAGGTTAGGATGGGAAGTAGAGTGCTATGGAATGGGCGGAAGGAAGGGGAAAAGGGGGAGGGAGGTAAGCCGCGTGAGAGGAGAGAGAGGGGAGGTTGAAAAGCTATGGAGGAACTTGCATTGTGTAGCAAGGAAGGTGTGAGCCAACATGCTGCGTGCCAGCTCAGCACTCACCAGGCGTAGGTGACCCAGTGTGTTTCGTGCCTGCCAGCTCAGCGCTTACCGGAATGATGCCGAGGCATGGTCCGCCCATCTCACCCCAGAAGCCTGCCACGTCATCATACCTGCCACGAAACGGGGGAACAGAGTACTGCCAATGGGTGCTACCTAAACCACCAGGTCAGTGTGCAGCAGGCAATACTGCCGCATGGTTACCACCGTAACCACCAGGCCATGTGGCAGGCAACCATGTGGCAGGTAACCATGTGGCAGGTAACCATGTGGCAGGTAACCATGTGGCAGGTAACCATGTGGCAGGTAACCATGTGGCAGGCAACCATGTGGCAGGTAACCATGTGCACCAGGAAATAATCCTCAATCCATTCATGCTGTCCTATGTGGTACGCCTCATGTTGCATGCCCTATAAGTAATGATGCTATGTATGCTCCACGCACCATGCACCATGCACCATGCACCATGCACCATGCACCATGCACCATGCACCATGCACCACACACAACCCAGCTCTCACCAGTAGTTGCCAGGGTGAATGGGTCCCGCCCGCTGCTCTGCCACAGCCACATATTCATCCGGCAGAGCTTGCCCATTCACCATCACCTGCCGGCTGTGCGTCCGCCCGTGCACCATGGGCATCATGCCATGCACGCATCCGTGCACCATGGGCATCATGCCATGCACGCATCCGTGCACCATGGGCATCATGCCATGCACGCATCCGTGCACCATGCATACATGCACCATGCATACATGCACCATGCATACATGCACCATGCATACATGCACCATGCATACATGCACCATATCCAATACCCCACCCTCAAGCCATCTTGCTTGCGCTCACCAGTAGTTGCCAGGGTGAATGGGTCCCGCCCGCTGCTCTGCCACAGCTACATATTCATCCGGGAGTGCCTGTCCATTCACCATCACCTGTCGGCTATACATCATCCCATCCTCCTCCCCCATGCCTCCCCCCATGCCTCCCCCCATGCCTCCCCCCATGTTCCCCCCCATGTGTCCGCCCATGCTTCCCCCCATGCTTCCCCCCATGCTTCCGCCCATGCTTCCGCCCATGCTTCCCCCCGGTCCCCCGCCCATCCCCTGCTGCTGCTGGTTGTGCCCATAAGACGGCGCAGCCATTTCCCCCCCTTCCACTCCCCCTTGCCTGCCCATCCCCCCCGGCCCCCTCCGGCCCATCACCACCCCTCCGCCTCTCCCTGCCCCCATCCTCCCCCCGCCTCTCCCCCTTCCCCCGGGCCCTCTCCCCCCCACTGCTCCTCCCCCTTGCCCGCCCATTCCGCCCGCCATCCCGCCTCCGCCTCCCCCTTCCGCCATATAATCATCAGACTCCCTGGAGAGCGAGCGCATGTGGTGGGGGGCGGGGGGGCCTCCCCCTCCGCCTGGCCCCATACCTGGGCGGAACCCACCCCCTCCCCCTGCGCCCCCTGATCCGCTCATGCTCGCATTACCATCACTGTCATACCCAGTTCCCCCCGCCGCCCTCTGCTGCTGCTGAAGCGGGGAGGGGGAGGGGAAGCGCCCGCTCCCCCCACCACCCTGAAGCTGCTGATTGGGATGCTGCTGAGCTGGCGGCTGCGGCGGCGGCGGCTGCTGACTTGGCGGCAGCTGATTGGCGAAACGCGGGTCAGCAGGGTTGACCTGGAAGCGAGAGACTCGCAGGCACTTGCCGCACCGCAGCTTCTGCACGCCCTTCTTGGCCGGGGGCAGCTGTAAAGGCACTTCCAGTAGCTGGGAGCAGCGCTGGCACTGCAGGGGGGGAGAAAGAGGGGGAGGGGGCGAGAAAGGGACGGAAACAAGGGTTGACCTGGAAGCGAGAGACTTGCAGGCACTTGCCGCATTGCAGCTTCTGCACGCCCTTCTTTGCGGGGGGTAACTGTAAAGGCACTTCCAGTAGCTGGGAGCAGCGCTGGCACTGCGAATGCAAGCGGGGAGAAAGGGTGGGGGGGGGTGGGGAGGGGGAGGGGAGATAAAAATTGACCTGAAAGCGTGAGGAAGAGGAAAGGGGGATGGAGAGGGGTAGGGGCGCAGCATACCTGCACCATTTGCGGCGCGTTGGGCGGGGGCAGCATGGGCAGCGCTGGGTGGGGGCCGACGGGGTGCGGGGAGGAAGTGGGGTGGGGGGGGATGGGGGGGGCGGAGAACGGGGGGACGCAACATACCTGCACCACTTGCGGCGCGTTGGGCGGGGGCAGCATGGGCAGCACTGCGTGGGGGCGCGAGAGGAGAGGAGAGGAGGAGAAGGGGGAAGGGTGCAGCATACCTGCACCACTTGCGGCGCGCTGGGCGGGGGCAGCATGGGCAGCGAGGCGGCCTCGTCCTGCTGCTGCTGCGCCTGCATGTGCTGCAGCCGCCGCGTGAAATTCGTATCAGACGCATCAGACATGTTCCCCGCGCCCGCCCCGTAATACTCGTCCTCCCCCCCCCTGCTGCCCCTGCGCCTGCCCCTGCGCCTGCTGCTGCTGCATCATCTGCTGCTGCCCCCCTCCCCCCATCTTCCGCCCAGGCCCCATGCCCGACCCACTTCCGCCTCCCCCCATCATCCGCCCGGAATTACCCCCCTGCGCGCCCGCCCACTGCTGCTGCTGACGTGGCGTCTGCTGGAACTGCTGATCTTGCCCGTAATGCTGCTGCGGATCCTGACCGTACATCCCGTCTTGATACCCATCCGCCTCCCCCCCGCCGTACCCCATTCCGCCTTGAGGGGAGTATACGTTACCATCCCCCCCCGGATACTGCCCCCCGCCTGCGCGGAACGGGCTCCCGGACCTATCGTACCCCCCTTGCGGGTTTGGCGCAGCGCCTCCCCCCCTGCTTCCCCTTCCCCCTCCGCCTCCGCCCATCATCTGGCCGCCGCCGTACGCGCCGCCATCGTCGCCGCCAAACCCGCCGCCGCCGTAGCCCGTGGGCGTTTGCGCCGCGCTGCTGCGCTTGAGCGCGGATTTCAGCAGCGGCTGTTGCGGCAGCGCCTGCTGCATTCCCTGCATGTTCATCGAATCGTCCGCGCCCGCACCCGCGCCCATGGGGGACCGCGACCGGCTTGCGCCGCTTGCGGACTTGCGTATCCCGCTTTGCGCGGGGCTTCCGCTTCTGCCCGCTGCGCCTGCCCCGCGTCCCCCGCCCGCCCGTCTGCGCGCATCGACTTGCGTCAGCGATCGTCCCAGCTGCTCCTCCCCGCTTCCATCTCCCCCCCCTCCGCCTCCCCCTCCCCCCATTCCTCCCCGCTCTCCCCCCTGCTGCGGAAAACCCGCCGCGGGTCTCCCCCGCGGCTTGCTCCCCATCGTCATCGACCGCCCTAGATCCGATTCCGTCGGATCCTCGTCATCGTCTGGATGCGCCTGCTGCGGCGGCGCTCTCTGCTGACGTGGCTGCGCGGCGCGGACATTTTGCTGCTTCCCCGGGGCCTTACCAACCATGGAGAGCGTTCGATTAAATCGCGGCGCGGCGGCGGGTTCCATGTCATCGTCGTCGTTCATCTTGGATTGCGATGGGCGGTGGATCATGGAGTTGATCCGACTGAATTGCTTCTCTTGGCCGCCTTTGCTCGGCCCATCGCCGCGAAGTTTGGTAACCGTTGTTCGTTCGCCTGGTGCTTTTTTGCGAACGACGGGGCGATCTTCGGAGGTGTCTTTTAACGGGACAGTTCGCGTCGAGCCTTCGCGGGCCCGACGCTGCGGGGCTGGGCCCCGCTCCATCTTCACCAGCTCTTAGCTAAAAGCCCGAACTTTTCCAGTAATAACAGCCATGAATACCCTAATGGATAACCTACGGTGTCACCCAGTCGCGAACAACGCGAAATGACAAGATCTCGGGGCAATGCGATAAAACTACCAACTAAGGCTGCCACAGAAAACCCTAGGAAAAAATATAGGCAATGTGGAGGACATGAAGTCCAACTGAACAGAAAATGGAACTAGAAGTCCCGCAAGCAAGCCTCACGAGCAGTGGTGGGTGGAGAGCGAGGCAGCGGTCGAGATGTGAGCAAGGTGGTGGATGGCTGGCGTGGGAAGAAAAAGGAGGGCGGAGGCCTCAAGCCAGTGCCCTAGAGGTGCACGCTTTTGGCGGCAAGCAAGAGCAACGCTGATTTGAGGCGATGAGACGAGGCACACAGGCAGGTAGGCAGGCAAGAGGGAGAAATCAAGGGAGGATTGATTGGACAGCGGACAATATCAATGCTGCTTTGGTAAGTGCGGTGGATGAGGGTCGTGATTCTGTGATCCAGACTGCGGTGAGAAGAGTGAGTGTCCTGAAAATTGCCACAGAATGCAAGTGTTGTACTTAGCCGAAACGTACGGTTGGTATGCTGGTGTTTGGTTTTGTTATCAAGTGGTTGGTGTGGTTGGTTGGATGGTGTGATGATAATTTGCCTGGGCAGTCACCTGGTTTTGAACTATATAAAAATCAATTTCGCCCTTACGAAGAGCAGCGCGAGGTGCTTCCTCCGAATATAGCTCAACGGACGAGCGAGTCCGCCCGGGGGAGCTCGCTGCCCGCGGGCAAAAAAAAAAAACCCTATCGGGCATGCCTCCGGTCAGGGAGGCATCAACCCTAAACACAGGGAGGGATGTGTTTAGGGTTGATGCCTCCCTCGGATGGCATGCCATCCGATAGGGTTTTAGTTTTTTCCTACCCGCCGGCCAGGTCGACGGTGGTCGACGGTCGTCGACCGACCGTCGACCCCGTTTCGTTGAGACATTCCGTCCGATTTACGAAACCAGGCTTGTTTGTGATCTTGATCGCGCTCTGGTTGCCGCACTAAAGACGGGAGGTTGGAGATGTCGCAATTTTCGCCTCCTGCGAGAGCTCCTGTAGATAGAGGCCTTCGCGAACTTCAGCGGTAGCGGCGATGAATCCTGCTTCGACTGGCGACAGGGCAACCAGTTCTAGTTTCTGTGAATTTCAAGAGGTTGGGCCCGTCGGCTCGGGTCGGAAGAGGAGCCGGTTCGTGCCCGTCAATTGTCACGATCAGTGGCGTGGTCGGCATCCACGTAGCCGACAAGGTTGAAGGATTGGGTTGTGATGGTCGAATAGGAGAGGCCAATGTTAGGCGTGGAGACGAAGTGCTGCAGGGGGCGCTAGTGGTCCAACACGTTCTCAAGTACTGGCTTGCAGAAGTACTGAGCAAGCTGAATTGCAATGTAGGAGAGATCAGGTCTGCATGTGACAGAGGCAAACAGCAGGCAACCCAGTTGCTGCTAGTAAAGTTGGAGGAGGTTTGTTGTCGGACTTGTGGTTCGGTCCGGGCGTGTGGTATGGAGTTGTGAAGGTGCATATGAGATTTCGAAACGCTCCCCAAGTGTCTTCGCGTATTTCAAAGCTAAGAGGTGGATGGCTTCAGGCGCGTAGGGGATGTTGAGGCAAAAAAGGAACTGCGTCACGTTGAGGTTCGCGGTGATGTCGACGCGGCTTCCCAGCTTTTTCTCGAACTGATCGAACGGGATGTTGCTCGTTCCACTGTATAGCAGTTCGTCGACGTAAACGGTGAGCAGGATGTAGTCGCCGCAGAAGTGCAGGCGGTACATTCCAGGGTCGTGCGCCTGCTGAGTAGAGACGATCTCCAACAAGATCTTGTGGAAGTGTTGTTGCCATATTCGACCCGCCTGCTTGATGCCGTACAGAGATTTCATCAGCTGACACACTCTGGAACCCCCTTCGCCGTAGGCGTGCGGCTGCTCCACGTAGATTACGGCGTCAACTAATGCTTACCGGAACGCATTCTTCACGTCGACCTGTCGAAGTGGGAGATGCTTGGAGGAAGTGATGGCGAGCAGGATCTGCACAGAGGTATGACGACTCACGAGGGCGAACGTTTGATCGAAATCAATCCCGTGGTGTTGGTCGTACCCCCGCACAACCCATCGTGCCTTGAAGCGCTCGATTGAGCCGTCAACAGTGATCTTCACGCGAAAGGCCCACTTTCCTGACAGTACTCTCCTTCCTTTCATTACGGCTCGATCCACGAGGACCCAAGTGTCATGGGACTCCAACGCCTTCAGTTCCGCGTCCATTGCTGCTGGCCATTCCTCGCTGTGGGGTCCCGTCAGAGCCTGCCTTAATGTTTTTTGCTCGATGACTCGTGGGGCCGAGGTTGTTGTGGTGTGAAGTCTGAGCAGTTGGAGCCCGGACACGGTTGTGTTATGGCGTCCCTCGTTGGTAACATCGTCGTCGCTTTCAGGTGCAGGTGAGGGGCATCGCACTGTCAGAGGTCCACTGGTGATCCCCGATTGATCCTAGGGAAGGGTTACAGGCATGTTGGCCTGGGGGGTTATGGGCGCACTGACCCGCTACTTAACAAGCCCTTTTATCCCAATGGTCTAGTGGTTGGGATTCTGACATGGTATCAGAGCGAAGGTCTCGGGTTCGAATCCCAGTGTGTGCACTTCGGGCATCCCAGTGCGGGGGGGTGTCAGAGGTCCACTGGTGATCCCCGATTGATCCTAGGGAAGGGTTACAGGCATGTTGGCCTGGGGGGTTATGGGCGCACTGACCCGCTACTTAACAAGCCCTTTTATCCCAATGGTCTAGTGGTTGGGATTCTGACACACACGTGATCTCTGCCACACGGTAGTGCTCTGTCGTCGTCGTCACAGTGACGGGGGCTCGGACCAGGATGTTCGTCCGGAGGGTCCTGTTCGAGAATTGCGGCTGCAGCCTGGTCTTTGGGAGTGGCGAAGTTGTGTTCGCCGTGCGCGTATATTGTTGCTGCTCCCGATTGCTGGTCTGCGTGGAACTTGGCGAGGAAGGGTCTCTCGTAGAACAGAATGTCCCGCGCAGGTGCGATCTTTTCGTCCGGTCCATGATAATCCAGCCCTTGTACTCGTAGTTGATGCCGAGGTGGACCCCTCATCGCGCGCGGTTGGCGAGCTTCCCGGCAATGGCGGTGGCGGGTCAGTACTGCACCATACAGCCCCACACGCGCAGCATCGAGGTATCGCCCTTCTTTCCCGTCCATCCCACGTGAGGCAAAATGTTTTTTCGTAATCGCGGTGGTAGAGTGGAGGTTGTGGAGGCGTACGGCGTGATGCATGGCGTACGGCGTGATGCATGGCGTACGGCCAATAGGTGGGTGGCAGTCCTGGCTGCTTCAGAAGCGCGCGCACCTTCCTCATGAGCGTGCGATTGGTGCGCTCAGCGACGCTTTGCTGCGGGTGCGCGTAATGGAGAGAAGTGTGGTGCATAATCCCTTAGGAATTCGTGGATTTCCTCGCAGCAGGATTCGGTTGCACTGTCTGTCTGCCATATTTTTACATTCTTATTTGACTATTGTTGTGCGTGCGCCAGCCAGAGGCGGAACACCTCATACGCCCTATTCCGGTACTGGACATCGCGATCCAAACCTAGCGCGTGCCCGCGTCTACGAACATCAGTATGTTACTCTCGTCGTTGAGCCCGCTGAGGTTGACGACGAGGAAGTCGCTGCACACTATGTGCAGCTTTGAGTACCGGATGATGCTTGGTTCGAGCAGGGGGGAGTGCAGATGAGTGAGCGCGGCTTCGGGGCAGACGGTGCAGACATGTGTTGGTGTGGTATTTCTCAACTCAGTTTCGTCAGGCCGCAATATAGCACCTGGCGCGAAGACTTCAGCGGAGATGCATTTGTTAAGTGTTTGATGCGAGAAGTGTCTGAGGCGTTGATGCTAGAGACCGTCAGTTGGGCAGACACCAGGGGTACGGAGGTAACGTGCGTGGGCTTTGGCGGGGGTCTTTTCAGATTCAGTTTCATGTTATGCTTCTTCTTCTTGTTCTTCCGCGTCTACCGCCGTAGATAGCGCGAGTGCAAGGAAGTTGCGGCCGGGGATGACTGAGAGGGGTATGTTGGTCCCCTCGAAGGTGCCTAGGATGAAGGTCGTGTGGGAAATGAGCTTAGAACCGATATATTAAAGGTGAGCTCAAAGCTCTTTAAGCACATCATAAATGAGCAAGGTAAGGATGGGGAGGGAACCGGGGGCAATCCTATAGAATTGGGGGTAATCCCAAGGCAGTTTCCAATTGGTAGGTTGGAGATTGCTTGGTGATCACATTTGGGTTTGGTTGGGATGTGGGTGTACACCCAACCAAACACAAAGTGCAGACTACACTAAGCTAGGATATAAAAAGTACAAGTACAAAATGTGAGATTGAGGGCTAACACTAACAGTCAGGTCCTCGAGGCTCTGGATCGGGGCCGTATGTGGTGCATCGTAAGGTTGAGGGTTCGGAACCCCAGTCGATAGTGTTCCACGGATCGCAATGCGTTATTTCGGGGGGGTTTACAGGTGGTGGTGTTGGTTGGTGCGGAGGGCGACCGGGGGGAACAATAGGTGCGATTTCTTCTTCAGTTTCCCCCCTTTGTTCCTCTCGGTGGTCTCTGGTTCCCCATCCGCCGCCGGAGTTTCCCCAGGCCCCGCCAAATGTGCCCCATACGCCGCTAGCATTGCCCCATGTCTTGCCGTCATTACCGTCGCATCCGCCGCAGGTGCCCCATCCTCCGCCGTAATCTCCCCAACCTCCTCCGGTTGAGGAT